CTCTCTCTCTCTCTCTCACTGAATATTATTCTTCTTTTTTTCTTTTCTTTCTTTTCCTTCTTCCTTTTTTTACACTCACATATCACCCAATCAAAAAATACCAATCGAGATTGTTTTACAACGAAAACGAAAAACGAAATACGCGATACTCCTCGTCTATCTGTCGATCATCGTTATTAAAAGAAAGAAAGAGAGAGAAAAAAAAACAGAAAAAAAAAATCCAGAAAAAAGCAGAAACAAAAGAAGAAAAAAAGAATTAGCTCGCGAAACAGAAGAAGGATCATATAAGAAAAATTTCACTTTTATATTGCGATCGGTTCGTCGGCTCGATCCTTTTTCCTTCTTCCTTTTCTTTTCTTTTCTTTTCTTTTCTTTCTTTCTTTCTTCTTTTTTTCTCTGTATCCTTTCTCTTTTCTTTCCCCTTTGATTTATCGCGAACCACGTAGAAACTTTTTCTAACGCGAACAAGAACGATCCGCGTACGTCCCCGATCTAGAAACTCATCGTAATCGTCAGAAGTCCTCCGCAGTCGTAAGTCACCCTGCTGAGGGCACCCTCGGGGTGTGGACCACGGGAAGAGATAGAGATAGAGATAGAGATAGAGATAGAGATAGAGAAAGAGGGTGAAAGAGAGAGAGAGAGAGAGAGAGAAAATATTAAAGAAAAGAGGAAGGGTAGGATATTCTCGAACGCGTTGATCGTTCGTAGCCGCCACCGGCACCTCACGAACACGCCCAGTTCGAATAGCTCGGGTTCTTGGGCTCCTAAGCGAACTTTGAAACCCGATTGGTCGACAGGCGGAGCCTCTAGAAGCCCCCGAGCAAAAGGCACTCGCCCTTCGAGCATTTACAACCACCTCATCCCACCCCTATCCCCTACCCCTTACCCTTTACCTCATCCTCAGGGGTTGTCACACCACCAACTCGACCAAGTTGCGCCGCGAAAAATTCTAAAAGTCAATTTGATAGCGCCATTCACTTGTTCACCGACCCTCCGGCCTTCACAAACTTCGAGAGTGATTTTTTTTTCTTTTTATTTTTTTTTCTTTCTTTTTCTTTTTTTCTTTTTCCTTCTTTTTCTTCTTCTTCTTCTTCTTCTTCTTCTTCTTTCTTCAAAGAAACCTATATTTCCTTTTTTCTCTCGCTTCCTTTTCTCTCTTTTTTTTGTTTTGTTTTTTTTTTTGTTTTCTGTTTTCTTTCTCTCTTAAGTACAGCTCTCTACAATCGGTTTTGGATATAAATATGTGTATTAGAAATCTTTCTGTTTTTTTTTTTATCTCTTGAATAGCATTCCCAAATTTGTTTAATCCAATTGAAAGAGTTAAATCAGCACATTTTCCTTTTTTCTAGTATTAGGAATGGGTATGTTTTTCTTTTTTTGATTTTTTTTTCCTTTTCTTTTCTTTTCGATCTCTTCTTTTTTTCTTCTCTTTTTGATTTCTTTTTTATCGTCATCAAATATCGATTAATCTCGTTGAGGATAAATTTCAATTTTGATATAAATGTATATTTAAAAAACAAAAAAAAAAAAAAAGAAAAAGAAAAAGAAAAGAAAAGAAAGAAATATATTCAACTTCATTAATTACTATTATCTACATACATATTCTCATTTTATATACATTGTAGATATATTTTGGATATTCGATCGATCCATTTTCATTTATCCATATTGTATTTTTTTTTATCCTCAATTTTTCTTTAACGATCAATCTTCTTCGCTGATAATTTTATTTTTTTTATATGTATACATATATATATATTTTATATATATATATATATATATATATATATATATATATATATATATTATTAAAATTATAAGAATAACGTGTGACAATAAAAAAAATGTCTTTTAATATTCCAAAAGATTTATCGTTAAAACATTAAACATAATCATTAACTCATATTAGATATCTAATTATTTACTTATATAGACGACGTTACTCGAATAGCAAAAAAAAAAAATAAAAAGAAAAAAAAAATGAAAGAAAAAAAGAAAAACTTATGACTTTTCCTTCGGCGACGTTAACGAGAAAGAATGAAAGTTTTCATCGCTGAAAGAAATGAATTTCGCTTTCGTTCTTTTTTTAAAAAAAAAAAAAAAGATACTAGTAGGTATACAGAGTGGAACGGTAATACGTGACATCTGGACGTTTCACACGATACACCGGGAACAATGTTACGGTAAAGCGAAACGAACGCTGGCAATAACCGTCGCGATATTTATTTGAATATTTTATTTATTATTCCGTAGAAATCAATGATTGCCATCTCGGTGGTGCGTGTATCCGTGAAAGTAGATTGTAATGTACGAAAGCCCAACAGCGACCACGACCCTTAATAATGTTAGTTGATCAATTTCACGAAGCTCAATTTTATTCGCTTTTTATTTCTTTTCTCGTTTACTTTGTTATTAAAGAAAACAATTAAAAAAAAAAAATTAAAATCAATCGATTTAACAATTATTACAATTCGACGAATAAAATTGAGATATATACATATATATATATATATTTTTTTTTTTATCGTTTAAAAAGAAAAAGAAAAAATGTCGCTGTTAATTTTTTCTATATATAAGGGGTTGTATTTTTTTTTCTTTTATATATATATATATATATACATATTTTTTTTTTATTAATGTTCTTAACAATTGGAGAATTGAAATAATCTATTTTTTTTTATTTTTTTATTCTTTTCCTTTTCCCATCCTTTCCCATTTCTTTTGTAATTTTGCATTCTTTCAATAATATCAAATTATAAATAAGAATTGGCGATATTCGAGTTTAGATACGTCGATACTGATTGCGCGACTCTTATCCTCGATTTTGCCGCGTGTTACGAGTTGAAACGGCCTGAACTTGATAGGTCGAAGGATCCCTGAGATTCTGAAGTACCTCCTCGACGAGACGGGAGCAGAAAATCGCGGTGAAGTGGTAACAGTCGGGCTAATGGCTCGGAGACGATATTTTGTTAAACAAGGAAACCTTTTATCCCTCACCCCACCATCTTTACGAGAACGCTTGAGAGCAGGGACGCTCTTCGATTTCGAATGGGACTGTATTTTTCTCTCAACGATATCAAGTCTCGTATAATACTCGATACACATTATCTATATTTAAAAAGTTCTTTTCGAAAACAAATTTTTCTTTTTTTTTTTTTTTTCTTTTTTTTTTCTTTTTGTTTTTTTGTGAAAGAAATATACATAAGAAATAGATTTTTTAAGATGAATAAAAAAAAATTTTTTAAGTAGTATATATATATATATATATATATATATATATATATATATATATATATACACAGATTATAAAGAAAAAGATTTGTAAATTAAAAAAAGATACGTTTACATTTAATGTCTAATTAAATATTATAATTTTACATATCGTATTAAACATTTTCTTTCTTTTTCTTTTATTCTTTTAAATAACACACTTTAGAAAATTTTCGTTCGATTTATCGAACTTATGGAAAAACAATGAGACAAAAAGAGCGTACCAAGATCTTTATTAAAAATATTTGGATGAAGCTATGAAAAAGAGAGAAAAAAAAGGCGATATTTTTATGGAACATAAAACATGAACTATGGATGGTGATAGAAAGAATCCCGTTAAAAGCGGCCCTGCACTGTCACTTTGGTTTTCTTGTCATCAAGAAAGAACGAGCTGAAAGTGTGAACCACCGACCGCCACGACAAGATGTCACCTGCCAGTTTCTCACGATTCGCCCACGCATATCTCGCCGTTCTCGCACATTCCTTCGATCCCCACCTCCCCCTCCCTCTTTATCTTCTGAATCTCTTTCACACTCTTACATCGTGTCAGGTCTCATCAGACTTTTACACTTCATTCGTGCGAGCACCTCGATAGTTCGTTACGTTCTATTATTCGTTTATATCATGATCGAGTTGTTTTTTTCTTCTTTTTTTTTTTCTTTTTTCTTTCTTTCTTTCTCTTTCTTTTTCTTTGCAAAAAAAAAGGGAAAAAAAGAAAGTAGAAGAAAATCTAACCGTCCCGATAATATTTTTTCTAACGTTAGCGTTTGTCATTGTTTTTATTATTAATTATTGTATTATTCTTATTATTAACGTATACGTTAAAACAAAAGGACAATTAAAAAATTTACGATCTCGTCTCGCGTTTATGTGAAATATAAATTCTATCTTTGGATATGCATTAAAAGGAAAAGAATGAAAAAACGAATAAAATAATTATTCCTTTTCAAAAAATGAAAAGGGGGTGGGGAAAAAAAAAGAAACGTGGTTCCGGCCGGGATCGAACTGGCGACCTTCTGCGTGTAAAGCAGACGTGATAACCGCTACACCACGGAACCCTTGTATCTTACGTTTCTAAGTTAATCTTGATTTCGGCATAATTTCTATATATATATATATATAGGGTGATTTTTTTAAATAAGGTCACCTAAATATGTCTGACTGATTGTGTTGCAAAAAATATTTTTTATCCAATGCGCATGATGATCAATATCTGACACGAATATTTTTTTCCCAAAATCATTTTTTTTAGAATTATCAAGATCATCGAGTCTTTTATTGATATATAACTTCCGAAGAGGATCTTCGGTCGTCTTCGGCTGTTGTCGTCGTCAAAGGAAAGAGATGTTTAGATGGTCTTACTTAAAAGAATCACCCGGTATATATACATGTAAGAAATATATTTGATATAGGAATATGAGAAAATACAGTAGTCAATGCTTTCAATAAAAATATATTAAAAGTAATATATATATATATATATATATATATATATATATATATATATATATGTATATATATGTATATATATGTATGTATGTGTAAGTATACAATATCGATATAATTTACATACTATTGGCAGTATAAAAAATCAACAATGAATGTATGATACTCGGTAAAAAAAATCTATATGATATCAATATTATATCATTTTATGATTACTTTGAAAAAAAAAAAGAAATACAAAAAATGTTTTACTTTTTTTTTTTTTTTTTTTTTTTTTTTTTTTTTCTTTTAATCTTGACTATCCGTCATACTTTAATGATCGGTATATACTAGTTATAAATAATTATATAACGAAATATGCCTTGCATAACGTTATATATAAAATCTCCTATTATGATTTTGTTAATATTTAATCAATTCCAACTCAATTACTTTCAAATAGGACTATTTAAAACATAATGGACCAACGTTAAAACCAAAAGCCTGATGAGGTAAGCCATAGTCCAAAGGATGAAAATCGATAAGTGGCAATTTTTGAAGTTTATCCGTTTGAACGAGAAACACTGTTTCACTTTTACTCTTTCGCGATTTACAACCATCCGCTATGATAATAGGTTTTGCATTATCATAAGAAAATTCATCTTCGTTTTCTCCGAGCAAACGTATCGACAAATCATAACTATTGTTAGGTGCATTGTACCATCCTACGCTATTCATACAAGTATATGTGAAATTTTGATAACCCTCTTCACTGAGCAAGCGTAAGAAATTTAATTGTATTACACCGATAGTTTCATAAGTTATCTGAAAATTATAAATGAAACAGAGAAATGATTTATATATATATATATATATATATATAAAAATTGGGAAAATAATTACTTACGCGAAATCCACCACGCAATTTGGAATACCAGTTGCCTTTCTCGTCTTCCTTTCTCCAAGGTATATTTGGCATTTGACTACTGTGAATGTCAGGAAAAACGCAAGTCTCTCCCATATTTGTCATATTGCAATAAACATAAACAGCATCGTCGGGCATACCTAAATTTGGATCGATCCAGTACCAACCTTTAAATAAAATATTTATTTTATTATAAAGAGATCAAATTTTCAATGATATGCAACTATTGAAATACGAACCATCGCTGAAATGTGGATGACCATAAAATAAATCTTTACATGTTCTAACAGGATTTTCTCTGGTTCCAGTTGGTTTACGTATTCTATCGAGCTCTTGTCTTATGCTATAGATAGAAGTATATACATCTAAAAATTTAGGTCCCAACTCGTTATCCTCGTCGTTATTTATTTCCTCTTTATTCAGATCATTCTCCTTTTCGTTATCTTCTTGTCTAAAATTAATTCGAGATTAAAAAACAATGAGTAAAGGTTCTTAATGATGTTTAAAAAAATTCTATCTTTAATAGATCCTTACGTGTCATCTAAAATCTCTCGTTTCCTTTTATAAAAGTGCGATTGAGTAAATAATAATTCTGGTGGAATCATTGGTTGTTCCGCTGGAGGTCCAGGTAGACCTGGAGGACCTGGTGGACCTATATCACCTTTCGATCCATCGTTCCCAGTGTAACCTTTGGGTCCTGGTGGCCCTTCTAAACCAGGCAAACCTGGTGGTCCATCGTTACCTTTCAAACCAGTTAGACCTAGTGGCCCTGTATTTCCTTTAGGACCTTCTGGTCCTATAAGACCTCGTATTCCTATTTCGCCTTTTTCACCCTGATCACCCTTCATTCCAATTGGGCCAATATCACCTCGATGTCCTTTCAAACCTCTTCGACCTCTATCACCTTTTGGACCTTTTGGTCCATCAGGTCCAGCTATTCCGGGTAAACCAACAGCTCCTGGAATTCCTGGTGGTCCACTTTCTCCTGCTGAACCTGATAATCCTCTTACACCTGATAATCCCGGAGAACCAGGCTGACCTTCTCCTCCTGGTCGTCCTTGTGGACCTGGTAGACCCGGTGGTCCAACTTCGCCCTTATCTCCTGGTAAACCTGTATTGCCTTGTATTCCCGCTGGGCCCTCTGGACCCTGTTAAAATATGTATTATATCTTTCATTTAATGTGTTCATTGGTTATGACAATTTTACGGAAACTAACCGGTCTTCCTTGTGTACCGGTCAAACCTTCTTTCCCAGGTGATCCAATGTCGCCTGGAGGTCCAGGTTTTCCAGATTCCCCATCTTCGCCATCTTTACCTGGTTCCCCTTTAGGGCCAATTAAACCTGGTTCTCCTGGGGGTCCAGGAAAACCCGGAGAGCCCACATTTCCTTTTGGTCCTTCTGGTCCAACGGGACCACGATTTCCAGGAGGACCGGACGGTCCCGGTTTCCCTTCTTCTCCTTTTTGTCCAGGAGGACCTCGTTCTCCCTACATTATTTAGTATAAATAAAAATTATTTCCTACTATGTTTTTTTTAATCCAATAAATATTTACCGGATTTCCATCGGCACCTTCTACTCCTGGAAGACCCGGCAAACCGCTATCTCCTTTCTCTCCTTGACGACCTTCAAGACCTTGTAAACCTGGCGGACCGTCCGCACCTCTGGGTCCCTTTTGACCTTGCTCTCCTGGACTACCAGCTGGACCAGCAGGTCCGATTGAACCCATATCTCCAATCTCTCCTTTTGATCCTGATGGACCGGGAAGACCTTGTGGTCCTACAGGTCCAGCAGGACCAGGTACACCGATTGGACCATCTTCACCTTTTATTCCTTGTCTACCAATTTCACCAGGTGGTCCCTTTTCACCTGTTGCTCCCACAAGACCTGGTTCTCCTCGTGGCCCTTGAAGTCCTGGTGCTCCTGCTAAACCCTGATAAATTTATTTAAATTTTTAAACATTTTCTTTTAATTGTTTGATTAATAAGATGATACAACATTAAATCAACTTTAGAATTTTTAATATATATGTACTTACAGTTGAACCTTGAGAACCTTTAAAGCCTTTTTCACCGGGTGGTCCAATATCTCCTTTGTCACCATCTTCTCCTGGAACACCAACTGGACCAGGGGGGCCTGATAATCCTCGTTGTCCTGGTAAACCATCTCTACCGGTCGGCCCTGGTAAACCAGTTTCACCCTAAACAAAAATAAATATATCATTTCATGTAAAACAAATTTAATTTATATAATTTATAATATAAAAATTATACCCTGTCGCCTTTTATACCAGGAGAACCAAACGGTCCTTTCGGACCTTGTCTGCCCTCAGGACCTATAGCTCCATCCTTTCCAGGTTCTCCTTGAGCTCCTTTGTCTCCGGATGGTCCTGGCAAACCAATAGGTCCCATTTCTCCTTTCAATCCAGGTATGCCCTAAAAATCAGCATACATATTATAAATATATGCGCATTAAAAACTCTTTATGAAGAGACTAAAGTTTATTACATAAATTAACGTACCGGTAAACCGACCAATCCTCTTTCACCCGGAAATCCAGGTAATCCTACAGGACCAGGCGGCCCATCTTTTCCAGATAGTCCTTGAGGACCAGGGGGACCTTCTTTACCTTGTTCGCCTGGTGTACCTATATCTCCTGGTATACCCGGACTACCTGGAATGCCAGGTTCACCTGGCTGACCAGATTCTCCTGGTGAACCTTGTGGACCGATCACACCAGGAGATCCAATAGGACCAGGAGGGCCAGATTCACCAATTGGTCCACGTTCCCCTGGAAGACCAGGAATACCATCTTTTCCATCAAGTCCAAGTTGTCCTGGTGATCCTATAAATCCACGTGGACCCTCTATTCCTGGTGGTCCAGATTCTCCTGCCGGTCCCGGAGGTCCTGGTTGACCAGTATCACCCTTCGGACCTGGTAATCCTTCGGAACCTCTTCTACCACGAACACCTCTAAAACCCTTTTATTAGATATAATTAATATTGGAAATGCAATTATTATATTTTTAAAAATCTGTTTTGATTTATATATTACTTACTCTGGGACCTATCTCTCCACGATCACCTGGCAAACCATTATTTCCCTGCATAAAAAACATAATTATAATTTAGTATCATATCCATTTTATAATAATGTAAAAAATATACAATTTACCCTTTCCCCCTTCTCCCCATTTGATCCTTCTCTTCCAATTTGACCTTTATCACCCTTCTCACCCGGATTTCCCGGATATCCTGTTAAACCAGATATACCGATTTTCCCTTTTTCTCCAGGTGATCCAATCGGACCCTGTTCCCCACGACTTCCTTCGAATCCTCTTGGTCCTTCTATACCTTCGATGCCAGGAATACCCTGTGGCCCTAATGGTCCTCGTTCTCCTTTCAAACCTGCATCACCTTTTTCTCCTTCAATTCCCTTGTCGCCTTTTTCACCTCGATCACCAGGTAATCCCCGTTTCCCATCATCTCCTTTTGGACCACGTACACCGGGAAATCCTATGGATCCTTGTGGACCTAATATGCCTTGTTCACCTTTCAATCCAGGAATTCCAGGATTACCTGGATGTCCAGGATGACCATCTGCTCCAGGAAGACCTGGTATGCCAGTTTTTCCTTGTGGTCCCTATCACCAACGAATAAATAACTTAATATTAATTTATTAAAAACATTAATAACAATTGGTATCTACTTACGACTAATCCGGTTGGTCCTAAAGGTCCTTGAGGACCAGGTGGACCAACTGGTCCCGACGGTCCAGATGGACCAGGTAATCCAGGTGGGCCTGATGGCCCAGTATTGCCTTTTGCACCAGGAGAACCTTCGCTTCCAGGTATACCAGGATTTCCTGGCATTCCTGGGAAACCACGTGGTCCAATAAAACCTCTCGGTCCCTATAGATGAAAAATGTTTATAAATATCTGTCATAGTAAAAAATAATATCAAAAATTTCTTACCAATTCACCAGGCAATCCTGGTAGACCAGGAGGTCCATCATCACCCTGCATACCTTCATGACCTGGTAATCCTGGTTCTCCAATAGCTCCTGGAGATCCCCTTTCACCTTTATCTCCTGGTAAACCTGGTAGTCCAGGAGGACCTTGTTCTCCCTTTATACCGGGTGGTCCCGTAGGACCACGTTCTCCATCTCTTCCAGGTCGTCCCCTTCTACCTTCTCTGCCAGTATTCCCAGGAATTCCTACGTAATAAAACAAATTAATTAATTACAGAATTTGATTAATTATATACATATATATTTTTTTTATAAACGCGATAAATATAATACCTCTGTCTCCTCTAGGTCCAGGTTCACCTATATCACCCGGTTCTCCTTTTTGTCCTTGAGGTCCAGGAGGTCCATCCGGACCAGGAGTACCAGTCAAACCCATTGGTCCTTCGCTACCTCTCATTGCTAACATATATTGCGACAATATTTGTCTCAAAGTTTCTGCTTGAGAATCGGGACCTTTTTCATTTCCTTGTTGATTTAACGAAGGTATCATAAATACATGGCCAGGTGGACCAGGAGCACCATTTAATCCTGCTAATCCTTCTTTTCCTGGTTCACCTTTCTTTCCTTGTGGTCCAACCATTCCCGGTGGGCCCGGAAAGCCTCGGGGCCCAGGTGATCCACGAAGGTTATAATATTTATTATTATAATAATAATCCTCATTTGAATTTGAATATGATGGTAAGTTAAAAGGTTCAATTGTAGTATAAGGATTTTCTTCTGTAATAGTTTCGCTCTCGTAACTCTGTGTTGTAGATTGCTCATTTCTGTTATATATCTGTACAAAATATAAATTATTATATATATATATATATAAAATAATTATATATATTTTATATATAAAAAATACATATACTTTAGAGAATGTATCTTACAGTAATAGGTTCGTTGATTATTGTTCTCATTGTTGGTCTTAATATAAATGTAAAATTTGTAGGAACATATCGCAAGGGATATGCTTCCATATTTTCTTCATTGAGATTCTCTTTCTCATTTTCTTTAATTCCCTCGAAATCTTCATAACCAGAACGCTTGTCAAAGGATATGTTGAACGGCTTAGGTAATATAGGTTCATCGATGATCGAGTTATTATTATCGAATTTATATATCTCTTCTTGTTCGCAATCAGGTGCAAATATTGTACAAAGTTCATACGCTGCATCCGGCGTTGGTGCTATCTTCAAAAGTTCAAGTCCTCCCTAATAAGAAATTAATTTTTATTTTAAATTGAGATATTAATGTTATATCTATATAAGGGAAACGAAAAAAGAAAAGGAAAAAAAAAGAAAGAAAGAAAGAAGAAAAAAGATAAAAAAAAGAAAATAAAAGTGAGATATTAATTTTATGATATATATCACTTACCAAAAATATATTTTCTTCCATAAGTTGTTGACCTATAATGATAATTCCATCGACGTTTATACTTTCAGAAAGATTCCTTTTTAATTCCTTAGTTATTTCTTTCTTGCAATCTAAGAGAAGAGTAATTGTATTTCCTTTAACGCTTATACTTAAACGATGCCATTTCCCATCGGAAATATCTTCACCGAAAGAAATCGGTTCTTTCTCGACGTCATTAATATCGTCGGAAGTATCGTAAAAGAATGTTATATCTTTGCCCAATGATAAAATCAATTGTTCTTGGCCGCCATCGTCGTAAATGGAAAATAATGTGGCCATGGGAAAATCTAAACAATTATAAATACAATCGATTAATATTTTAATAGATCAATATACGATTTTATGTTAATCGAAAAAATTAATTTACAAGATATATTCTTTTTTTTTCTTTTTTTTTTTTTCTTAGATTTTAATTATCAACTTATTACTACTTACTGATTTTAGTTCTTGCAACGACGATGATCGAAAAATTATTAATCAATCCAGTTGGAAAGATCGCATTTGTATTTATGGTTAATAAAGTGGATTCACCGATATCGAATGCTATCGTATCGTTTTTTTTACAACGATTTTCTGTAATTATCAATCCAAGAGATTCTTGATACATCCCAGTACTTTCCATGAGATCGACGACACCTCTTTCTATAATACATTAACGAATTCTGATAAAACGAAAGGTCTGTTAAGACACGCATAGAGAATTGACAATTAGCCGTAAGTCGCGTGCATCCCTAATAAGTGTTTCGTCGAATAACGCAAAGTGTTACGATGAGATGAACGACTGGAAACCTAGTAACCCATGAACCCGTAGAACATAATTCGCATTATTGCAGCGAACGACTGAACCAATTCTGTAGAAGCTTTTAGAGGAATGAAATTGCTTTACATGCAACAGAGTTAACTAATTCAATGATTGAAACGTGAATCACCTTAATCGACGTTTATTCTATTTATTTTTTTTTATTATTTTTTTTTTTTTTTTTTTTTTTTTTTTTATACAGAAAAAGAAATACTTGGCATAAACAGATTTCTCTCTCTTTTTTTTTTTTTTTTTTTTTTGATATAAGAAAAAAAGATACTTAGCATAAACAAAGATATCTGACAATATAAAAATAATTGGCAATACAAGACAATTCAAATGATACAAATATTTGATAGGTTGAGAGGGAAACAAAAAAAAAATAAAAGAAAAAATAAATAAATAAATAAAAAGGAAAGAAAAAAAAAAAAAAAAAAAAGGAAAATGTTTATCACGAAACGTGCATACGACGGATATAAATACCTATATCCTCTGTATTTAAATTCGCCCTCGTCGATGGTAACGTCGATAAAATGAGAAAAAGTATAACAACGTAAGGGTGGATGATGGCACGATAAAATCGTAGAATTCTCCATTGTTGTTTCGCGTGATCTCCTTGCATGCCTGATCTATCTTCATGAGACCATGGCCTTCTTATTGAACACTATACACAGATTACGTATTCTTATATCGAATATATAAGTATGTGTATTTTCTATACGAAATATCAGGAGGAAACTTCAAACGTGTTATTCACTTCTGACACTGCGAAACCCTTCTGGAGAGAACGAGACAATTTCTTAACATAAGCATCATCCCACTTCTTCTTCTTTTTCTTCTTCTTCTTCTTCTCTTTCTTTCTCCTCTTTCTTTCTTTCTTTCTTCTTCTTCTTCTTCTTCTTCTTCTTCATCATCATCATCACCATCATCATCATCTTCTTCTTCTTCTTCTTCTTCTTCTTCTTCCTCTCTTCTCCTTTCTCTTTCTTTCCTTCTATCTAACGATCGTATCCCTTTGATCTCTCTTCTCTCATTCCAATCTCTTCTCCTATTTTCCCTCCCATACTTCCAATCTCTTCCACTACTTCTTCTCAACGAGAATATGCGTTCCGCTTGTACGCATTCCACACATGCACTTTTAATAACAATTCCGCGTCTCTTCTATTAACACTGATTCGAATAACACGTGCTTCACGTATCGTGTTAAATAGCATAGACCTTTTCTCTTCTATTTTTAAAGAAAGATATCCCGGTAATCATGACTTATTTATTTACGTATTCTAATTTAAATTTAATATTATATATAGAGATTATTTTCATATGAAGAATTAACGTAATACAACGTGGATTAAAAATAATTTTTATAATCCAATCTATATATATATATATATATATATATATATATATATATATATTGTATTATAAAAATTATTTTTATAATTATACAAACTTTTTATTTTTTTTCCGCAGACGTTATGTGAAATCTGTTATTAAAAAAATATTTTTATTTTCTTTTTAAAATAAATAATTAATTATATATATATATTATATATATGTAAATATATATATATATATATAAATTATCTTAATTAATACTTAGAATTAATAAACATTTTATAGATCAGCGCAATAAATATGTACTCGCAGACGTTTCGATTAATTACTTCCTTCCTGCTTTAATACTACATGTGGTATTCTATTTTCTACCATAGGTATATCATAATATCTTAATAAATCAAATTAGCGTATTGCATTGGCGTAATGTTACATATATGTATGTATCTCGCATTTGTATTAAATTTATACATTTTTACAAATATTTTCTGATATTTAATAATCATAAATGTATACTATTACTACTACTACTACTACTACTGTGGTATTATAAAATAATAATTATCTTATAATAACAATCATATTATGTAGTTAAAATATAATTCATATTATGATTTATACAATCAATGATTTTTCAATTCTTCCATATAAATATTATTAGCAATATAAAGTATAAATATATTAATATTTAATCAGAATTAAATCGAAAAAATTTGGGAAATATCGTTCAATATGCAGCCATTCGTTTGGTAATACTTGCGTTATATGATTTAACAAAGCAAATGAAACTAAGTCCTCGTTAGAACTTCTAATCGCGTCCGCGAACACTCACGTGAGTGTTAGAATAACGATGACTCTAAATTGAAATCTTAGATGACATCAGTCAACCGGGAATTTTGATTCCCAACGTTATCTTTACGAAAATAAATCTTCCATTTACGAATAACAGGATGGATCGCAACATCAATAGCTACCATTAATAAGTATCGGTAGTTAGTTAATAAAAAAGTTAATAAAAAGTTAATAAAAAGATTATATATATTTACATTACACAAGGACAATTATCGTGAGTTTATAATTTTTAAATATCGAAATTTAATATTAAAATTATTTTAAGTTTCTCCTATTTTTTCGTCTTTTTAATGTTTAAACGAATCTACGATTTATTTAAATATTAATTTATTCTACACCGTGTACATTAAAGATCGTAGATTTAATTGAAAAATTATCGAATGTATTAATTTATAAATAATCACGTTTAAAAAGAGAAAAATGACATTTACCGAGCTTTGTAATATTTAATCGAATATAATATTATTTAAATATTAGTTTCGTGTATTATGCGTATGTTATACAGTATTAAAATAATTATAAAATTATCAATAGTATTAATTTTTTCAATGATTTGATATTACACAAAGGATACAATTTTGAGTTAATAAATTTAATTTTATTGAATTATTAAAGTAAATTAATTTTTTTATTTAACGAGTATTAAGTTCTACGTAATGTTCAAGCGAATGTATTTTTTTTATTAAATAATAATATATTTTTATCGAATACTTATACATCATTTAAATAATTAAGAAATTAACGAAAGTATAAATCATTTATGTTTAATTTTATAAAGAGGAAACAGGTTGTTCTTCTCTTTTTAGAATCCAAAAAGAAAACTATTTCATTAACTACCAAAGTCAATTGAGCGTTTTTCTTGACATTACTTACCGACGATCACTTTGAGTTCGAAATTAAACTTTATATGAAAATCAGTAAAGATGAGTATAAGCTTCTTCTCTTTTACCGCAAACTTCCAGGGGCGCTACTGTGCAAAATTTTTAATCTTTTTCTTTGTTATTTTTTTTTCTTTTTTTTTTTCTTTTTTAACGAAAAATGTCAAAAGCATCATTTATACCAGCAATGAATCCAAGTATAATCTTTGATCGATTATTAATGAATAAGTTCTCATTTTGAAAGATGAAGATTTAAAACATGATTTTATCGAATTTTCGAAGAAGCTTTATTTTTATGCATAAATTATTTTCATAAAAAAAAAAAAAACATCATTTTTTCACATGATATTAAAAAAAAAAGAAAAAAAAATAATAATAATTTGAAGTAAGATCTATATCATCAAAATCAACAGCTTTAGAAAAAAAAAAGACCTAACTTTATCGATAACCAATGGAAATTTGTCCACTTCTTTAATTTATTGATCAGATAAATAAATAATATCGGAATTTTTAATAGAAGCCGAATCAAAAGTCTCCAAGTGATTTTTAATATAAATTATTCTTTTTAAAGATTTTTTAGGCTAATTTTTTTCAGTTTGTAAAAATATTCCTAAATTCGTAATTCTACATTCTGAAAAAAAAAAAATAAAAAGAAAAAAAAAATAATAAATTAGCCTAGAAAGTCTCGAAGAAGAATAATTGATTTTTAAAATCACATTCGAATCCATCTAAAAACTTTTGAATCATAGCGTATTAAAAATTCGTATTAAAAACGAATCTATTAAAGTTATACATTCATAGATTTAACTTCCCACAAATGGTCAGTGAATGTGATTGGCTAGTTTAGAATATTTAATTTTGTGAGGAAAAGCTTGGATCCGTTGGAGATAGAAACGTATTTCAACATTACGAATCAAATGAAACGCGAGTGTTTTAAAATTATTTAATAATAATATTACAATTTCTCCTATAATACATATATATATTTATATAAACTATATTTGTTCTATATTTGAAATGAAAAAAAAACAACATTGATTGATCATAAGATATATTCAATAACTATACCATTGAATTAATATTAGTATTATTTATTTAATATTAAAAATGTGGCAAGATTCTTCTAATAATTTAAGTGAACATAGTTCTTTAGTTATTTCAGACAGCGATGATAATATTATTACTAGTACAAGGCAAAATATTCTTATTGATAGTAGTGACAATGACGAATCTATTTCAATGGAAAGGTAAATGTTAAAATGTTTTTAATTGAATTGATTATTTAAATCATATAATGTGTCTTTAATTGATACGTCAATTAAAATTAATACAAAATCTCATATAATTATAATTAATTTTTTATATTGAAAGGAAATCAGTAGATTTAAATTCTTCATCAATTATTGAAGAGAGAATAAAGCGTAAGTTAAAGAAACATCGTTTAATTTATTCTGATGATGAAAGTATTAGTGATATCGATGATAAACCTATATATCAAGAAGTAGAATCCGACAAAACTTCAGATGGTATGTTTTATATATAATTTTTTTTTTTTTCTTTTTTTGCATATATCTATTAAGAAATTATAAATTGATACTTAATTACAAATCTCTTTTATTTTGATATAATTTGACAGATGATTCTGAATTTTCTTCAACAAATTCTTCAAATAGAAAAAGAAAAGATATTTCACATGATTATACAAAAGAAAATATAAAAGATTTAAAAATAGACAATTCTTTTGATAGTACCAATAATATTAATGATGTTAATGAAATCAATGAATCTAATCAATCTGACAGTCTTGAAATGGATTCGACTAATAAAAGTGAAGATTTTAATGAAAAAGAAGATATTAATATCAATAAAGAAAATGAACATTCTATTGTGAATATTAACTCAGATACAGGTATTAATGTTCATTTGTGTAAAATAATCTATTATTGTTGTCTTAGAAAAGATAAATATATAAAATTTATACTTTTTATTAATTCCTATTATGACAATAAAAATTTTAGACTTCTATAGATTTAATGTAAAAATTTATAAAGAGAGAAAAAGAGTGAGAGAGAAAGAGAGAGAGAGAATGAGAGATATTAATAAAAAAATACAATATTAACTCCTAGATAGTACGCCAGAGAAAAGAAAGAGTGAAGAGAATGCATTGGCAATATCTTATGCGAGACAAGAGATTGGTGTTGGTAATATAGATCCACTGGTAGCACAAGAGAGAGCTCTACTTAGTTGTAAATTGCAGCAGCTAGAAATTCAATTAGAAAAAACAAAGGTAATAAAATATACGCAAATCTTAAAGATATATTTTAACCATTTCTAATCATATGAATACTAAAATATTTTATTTTTAGTTATTAGTTACTAATGCAAATATAGATGTATTACCAGATAAAGGAAAAAAATTACAAGAAAGTATTATCATTCAAGAAAAAGAAATAAAAGAGATAAAAGCAAAATTAGAAAGAACACCTTTAATACAACGTGGTGAACAAATGAATCCAAAATCTATTTTTAATGATAAACAAGAAGAAACATCTTTCTTATCATCTAATCAAATGAAATATCTACAATCTGAATCTGAATATTTCTTTACGGATCCTACATCTTCAGAATCTAAACCATTGGGGAAAAAAGCACAAGAAACTAGAGAACGTGAATTTACTTTAACAGTAGAAAGATTACAGGATTTACATGGATCACTTGTAGCTCGTCCTTCAGAAGATGCAAAAGCAGAAGATCCACCTGGTTTAAAAGTAAAACTAATGCCTCATCAACAGCATGCATTAGCATGGCTTATGTGGAGAGAACAAAAACGACCAGCTGGTGGTGTATTAGGTATAAATTTACATCATTGTATATAGATTGATAATTATATAGTTTATAATTTCAATTTGAATTTTGTATTCTTTGTTAATACATAATAACTATTAACCACTAATGTACTTTTTTTTTTTTTTTTAAATAGCTGATGATATGGGCTTAGGTAAAACTTTAACGATGATCTCTTTAATCATGGCCACTCTTCAAGAAAATTATGATGAAAGTGATGATGAATGGCATAGCACAAATAAATCTATAAGTATGTAAAGTATGAATGAAATATAATATAATATAATATAATATAATAGCAAACTTTTTCTATTTTGATGTAGTAATTCTAATTAAGTACTACATTTCGAAATATTAATTGTTTAATTAAAAATATCATGAATTATTTATTTTGTTTAAATAAAATTTTGTTGTATTTTCAGCCTATAAAGGTGGAACACTGGTTGTATGTCCAGCTTCTTTATTATCACAATGGGAAAATGAAGTAAAAAGTAAATGTAAAAAAGGTATATTGTCAGTAGAAGTTTACCATGGTAATAATAGAGAAAAATTATCCAAACGTTTGGCAAAATATGATATTGTTATTACAACATATAATATATTATCCCGGGAATTTAAAAACATGTCTACAATATATAAGGTATAATAGTGTAATACAATATTCTCCTAAACTCTATTAAAACATATTATATCTAAACTTTTATCTATTGTTTTTAGATCCATTGGAAAAGGGCAATACTTGATGAAGCACACATAATAAGAAATTATAAAAGTCAAGCATCTCAATCAGTATGTGGTCTTATAGCAAGTAAAAGATGGGCACTTACTGGAACACCAATACAAAATAAAGAAATAGATTTATATTCTTTATTGAGATTTTTAAAATGTTCTCCTTTTGATGATATTCGTGTTTGGAAACGTTGGGTTGACAATAAAAATGCTGCAGGTCATCAAAGATTAGCTACTGTTATGAAGACTCTTATGCTTCGAAGAACAAAACAAGAACTCCAAGCGCAAGGTGCTTTAGAATCTTTACCTACTAAAAATTTTAAAGAAGTGGAAGTAAAACTTGATTCTCAAGAACAATTAGTCTACGAAAAGGTTTTAATATATTCTCGTACGCTTTTTGCACAATTCTTATCGCAAAGAGCAGAGAAAGATCACATGGCAGATTTAAGGTCTGGAATATACGATAAGCCATCCTTTTTGTCAAATCCAAGTAAGTTATATATATATATATTTTTTTTGTGTATTTAAAAATAATATCTTTTATAACGTATATTAAATGTTTTATTTAATTATTAGATAAAAATACACAATTTACAAAGGCACAAAATAAATTACTATCGCTACATGCTGATGTTAAAACACACGAAATTTTGGTACTTCTATTACGTCTTCGACAAATATGTTGTCATCCGTCGTTAATTCATGCTATGTTGGATCAAAATGATTTGGAACAAAGTGAAGTAATGGATGAAGAAAATGTAGATTTAGATATTATATCCCGCATAAATAATATTTCGTTGTGTGAAAATGAAGAAAATGAAGAAAATGAAGACGTAAATGAAAAGGAAATAGGTGTTGACCATAGAGTAACAAAAAATGTACTTACATCTAAAAATCCAGTTTTTGAGTCACAACGTTTGAGTTCCAAAGTAAGTAACTATCCTCTCATACAATGGAATATTATAATGTTTATAATATAGATTTTTAAGTAGCAATTAATATATTAAATATATGAACTGAATTCATTATGTAAATTATAAAATTCTATATTATTAATGTAGATGAAAGCAGTACTCAATATGGTCAAACAAATTTTAGACAAAGGAGATAAGCTCATTATTGTTTCACAATGGTCAAGTATGTTTGAAATTATTGGATCTCATTTATCCACAATAAAAGGGGCAACATATAGTGAATTTTCAGGCAGAGTGCCTATTAAAAATCGACAAGTAAGGGATTATTTGTATTGTTTTATATTACAATGATATATTTTTTAATGCATTGGTAAAAAAACTATATATACATGTTATGTTTTTAGGTTATAATAGATTCTTTCAATGATTTATCTAGAGATCCAAAAATTTTGTTACTTTCACTAACTGCTGGTGGAGTTGGACTCAATCTTATAGGAGGAAATCATCTATTACTTATTGATATTCATTGGAATCCACAATTAGAAACACAAGCTCAAGATAGAATATATCGATTTGGTCAAAAAAAGGATGTCTTTATTTATAAGTAAATATCACAACTTTTATTTTCATGAATGTACTGTAGAATTGTATGAAATTATTTTTCTATATCATAATCATTTTATATTTATAGATTTATTTGCAAAAATACTATAGAAGAGCGTATCAAACACTTGCAGGAAAATAAGTTGGCTATATCTCGGAATGTATTAAGCGGTGAAAAGAACAATCTTGTTTCAAAACTATCACTTAATGATCTTAAATCTCTTTTTGCTCTTTAAAAAAATAAAATTATATCTTTACTTTAAGAATCTGTAATATAATTTGTAAAGAGTTGTCTTTTATTCTTGGATTTATTTTCAATATGTGTTTATATATAATTTGTAATATATGTCTAATTGAGTCTTTTAATATTTAAAATATCTCATGATATTACATGTAACATTTCTTAATTCGTTTTGTTATTTTGACTTTCTTTAATATTTCTAATTCATAACATTATATATACCTGAAAAGATACAGCTAATAAAACTTTCCTTTATGATATTGTTTTCATTGTACTTTATATCCAATAATGATATAACCTCAAAATATGTTGTCAATTCAATGAACAGTCTACCAATGAATGGATCACTGCGCCACCTAATCTGGAGAATTAACATTATCAATAGTTTTCAATACTGGAACATTATTTATATAGTAATTTTAGTTGATTGTAAAAAACAATATAAAATATAATAGAAATATAAGGACAAAAATATATACTTAATATCTTAGATTTTTCTTTTATCAAGAAATAAAACCAATAAAAGTTATTCAGTATTATAAGATGTATGATTAGTTTTAAAATAATTCTTTAAACTTTGCCATTATGTTATAAGAGAGAAATATATAAAAAAAAAGAAAGTCAATTCTCTTTTATAATACTCGACCTCAGTATTTTGTCCATTTTTCTTTTTTTTAACACACGTATACACACATACACGCACATATGTGTTTAACTTATGTTATAATTCTATCGAAGACATGTAGGTTAGAAGTAAGTATATATTGGTATTCTTTATTAACATTAAATAAGGAAAATATGTTAATCTCTTTGTGTAACTAGGTTTCATACATTTGACATTATAATTATGAAATATAAATAAAAAATAATTTTATTTTGTTTACGTTGATATTGGAAATGAATAAGATAATGTATGATCTTAAGACATATAATATAAATACATTTCATACGAAGTGAACCAATGTCTATGACAGTACATCGGACTTTGATAAATTGAACTACAAATAATTTTTGAATGTATAGTATACAATAATCTATGAATTTAGGCGTATTCAATAGAGTTAATCATAAAGTAAGTATTTTATTTAATCTATGAAAGTATTTAACAATATTTACATATCATATAATTATTATAGGATTCCCAAGGAGGAATGTATTCAGAATGGGCTTCTTTAAGCATTCTGATTCAACAAGGTTCAGAAGAAAGTCAAAGTGTACTAGAAAAGTTTTCACCTGGAGCAGGAAAAGAAGTCGCATTGTCTATAGTACGTCAACTAGCTGCTAATCTTGGTATTACACAAGCAGCAGAACCTAGTCCCTTATGCACTGATAAAGAAGTACAGTGGTGTATGGAAGTTATTTGTTATGGGCTTTCTTTACCATTAGCTGAACATGATACTGTTAGAGATTGTGTTAATGTATATTGTGAATGGCTATCTGCATTATATTCTACACCAAAAATTTCTGTACCAAGGCCAATTATAGATGATCCAAATTTTTATGCTAGAAAGATTATAAGTCATTTTCATAATTTATTTATACCTCGAAAAGGAGAAGGTAAGAATTATCATTTTAAAATTTCAATTTCTTTTATATTTTCTTATATACTTCTTGAAATATATTTATATTCCTTTGGTTACCTATTTGATCTCTTCTCTTTTCATAGTCTGGCCATTTTTGTATCAGGATTTAGGTAATTCATAATTATCAATATCAATGAATCATCAATGTTAATGCTTACATTTTTAGAAACAAAAACTCTGGACTTTTTATACCATCATATCATTATATTTTTGTGAGATTAATTATTTTATATATTTGTAGGAAGTGATACTATAAATAGACAAGCTGTGTTATGTCATAGAGTTCTTAGAACACTTCAACAAATTGCAAGAGGTCCAGCATCATTAGAAAGAGAAACTTGGGAAAGTTTATTATTATTTCTTATTGGAATTAATGATGCATTATTAGCTCCACCAGCAACAAGAGAAGATGCTGGTGAACAGCTATGTGAAAGAGTACTTGGTGTATTATTAGAGGTATTAAGAATTTTTTATTATGTACTAATAATTTTATTACAATTAATTAATATTAATCGTTTGAAAAAAAAAAATATATATATATATTAAATTAAACTTTTGTTTCAGGTATGGCTGGTAGCTTGCGAACGTAATTTTCCTGCTCCACCTTTATGGCGTACATTACGAGAATCATGCCTTCGATGGAGGCACAGATTAGCTTTAATAGAACAATGGAATCGTGTGTGCCTAGCACTCACAGCAAGACTTTTACAAATCATGTATGGACCAATGTTCCCAGAGTTAAAAATAAGTTAGTATATTTTTATTAAATTAATTTTTATAATAAAAATATGTCTGATATTATCGATGATTTATTTTAAGGTGAAGAAGATGCACAACTTGTACCATCAACAATGTCGGAGGAAGCTGTTGCACAAGCATGGTACAGACTTTTGCGAACTATTGGAGATCCTGTGGATTTATGCAGGCCAGCCGTAGTATCACAAACTCAAGCATTTTTCCAATATGCTATTGCTAGCCCAAACGTTATAGATCCTTGTCAACATCCATGTCTACAGGGATTGCCACAAATATTCTTGAAAGCTATAAAAGGAATAGCTGGACAGGTTGATGCATTTCTTGGTAAGTTTATTTTCTCAATTAAATCAGACCTATAATAAATGTTGTAATTGTGCAAATATCTCTGTATAGTTTAGAAATACTTTTTATATACATATATATATATATATATATATATATATATATATATTTACTCCATATTCATTATCTTTATGTTAATAATTTCTTTTTCTGCAAACATTTTGTAGAGCACAAGTAGTTGCTTAACAACTTGATCACTCATGGGTGGTGGGTGCACATTCACACAATTGTTTTAGGAGTTTCACAAGCATGTTGCTGGGAAGAATGTTGCGTATCCAACATTGCATCTGGAACCAATAATAATGGAAACATAGGTGTTGGGTGGGACAGATCAAGTGGCAAGGACCAACCACAACCCTCCCCTACACCTCCAACACAACGCCGACTTGCCAAAAGTTTCAGTGTTACACCTTCTGCGGTTACTAAGGGTATTCAGCATCTTATACTTTTCCTTGCTGTCATATTTCTTATGCTATTTTTAATGTGTATATCACTTCATCTATTACCTTCATACTCTTTTTCTTTATATTATTACAATAGCAGAAAAGGTCTTTCATGTGGAAGTTAACATACAAGAGGAATAACAGTTTAAAAAAATCTGTTGTTAATTTTAACTTTTTGCTTTGATTATATAGGGATACCAAAAGCTTCTTTAATTGGTTTAACAACCAGTCGCGTATCTAGTACACCCCCAATGTTGATATCAAATTCCGGGCCATCATCAGCATCTAGTACAACTTGTAAGATAATTTATGAATTTATACATTTATATATAAGACGATTTTATTATCATATAAATTCATAATAAAATGATGTATTCTATATTTATAGCTATGACATCACTTGGTCAAGATATTCGACCTCCTTTAGCACCAGGAAGACCTAAGTGCAATAGTATATTACATCTTTTTGGTGAATGGTTATTCGAAGCTGCATTTATAGGAACAAATGGATGGTCACAAAATTTACCACGTACGTTATTTTATCGTACATAGAGTTATTATATTTTATATATATATATATATATATATATATATATATATATATATTATATTATATATTTTAGAACCATCAGGAGCATCAAAACGTCCATCTTCAGTACTTGTAGATGGGCCAAGTTCATTACAAGAAACTGTTAGTGAAGTACCTCCTACACTTTGTATAGATCGTTATGAATCAGGTAGAGCAGAAGCTATGGGTGCACTCTGTAGAATCTTTTGTGCCAAAAAAACTGGAGAAGAAATATTGCCAGTTTATTTAGCAAGGTTTTATCAAGCAATGCATCATGGTCTCAAATTAGATGATGTAAGCGTTTTTATTATTTAATTTACTTAAATTATTATAAGTAATTATAATTTAGATGTTTTTATTTGTTTTATAGACAAGAGAGTGTGGTGAAACATTAGCATATATTCTTTTAAATTCGTCCGATTTATTTCGTTTAGACTTGAACGGTGTACAAGTATTAGTACCTGCAGTATTATCTGCTTTGGAACTTGTACTACCTGAGAAAGATTTAAAATTAAAATCTAATATAGTTTCAAAACCAGATTTAAGACGAGCTTCGATACATTTACTTATATCGATGTTGGCATTACCATTACACTTTCAGGTAATATAGATTCATGATGATCTTCATAATATATCATAAATATCTAGTTTAATTAAAAAGTATTATTTGTAGAATCTCCCTATCAAAGAACTTCCAACATTTCCAAACACATCTTCTGAAAAAACTCAAGTAACCTTTGCACAATTAAAATCAAGATTGATGAATTTGCTTATCAATGCATTACAAGTAGAAACTGATCCACAAAATACTCATATGCTTCTAGGTAAGTTATAAAGAAATACTTTCTTTTAAGGAAATATTATTTTACAATATTTATATATATATATATATATATATTTATTCTTTTTAGGAGGTCTTTTATTAAGTGTACAAGATTCTGCTGCAGCAGAAGAGGTTGAACAAGTCACCCAACCAGATGCAGTACCAAATGATGCAACAGTTAATTTATTATCTTCAGGTTTGTTAAAAAAAAAAAAAAAATATTGGCTTGAAAATATAAATTTTAAATGCACTGTCCTGAGTTACATTTTGTAACAAATATATAAGAAATTATTATAGAAATTATTTTGTTTTATGCTAATAGAGAGTAGCCAAAGCTACCTGCTATATCTAATTAAAGAAGTAACATTTTTTTATTAACATTTATTTAAAGCCTTATACACTACATTACTGTAACTCAGTATGATAATGCAGAGTGAAAGCATGGTGCTTAATATCACCTTTCATTGTACCTGCTTCACACATGCTTTTGTGAAATGTTATTCTTTTTTATTATTATATATTGTGTTCTGTTGTGCATTTGCCATTGTACTCATCATCGCTTGATAGTTACCAGCGATTCAGCCAGTCAAATAAGCATATCCAGTGATCAACGTTCGCTCGGTGATGCCTCTGATATAGCAACTCTTCAAGAGGAATGCATTGCATTCGGTAAATACGAGTACTATTCACCTTGGTACTGCAATTACTTGCCAAATCTCTGGAGTGTAATCGTTTCTGTGTTCATTTTATCTTATTTTTATTCCATCACGAAAATATATTTTAAAGAGAGTGTTTTCTCACATCCCTGCATATATCAAAATTCCAATTTCATTAAATAATATCACATTATATAATTTTATCAATAGCAAATCATATTAAAATGAAATAATGTTTCAGATTCGGCACATGCTCTTTTCGTACGAGCCACGTATCTCGTTTGTCACAGGTTGATATCTTCATGGAAAACAGATTTAAACATTTCACTGGCTGCACTTGAAATGTTATCAGGATTGGCAAGAACACGAATTCGAGAAACAGGTAATATTCAACATTAAATATATCAATTTATATTATCAAATTTCTTTGTTAATATATATTTATTTCTAATATATACTTTTGCAGCAAGGAAACTCACAGGTTTGATAAACGTTCTAATAATTTTAAAAAAAGATCATACTTTTAAAAGTAAAAAATAAGATAGATATTAATTTTGTTTTGTAGATGCTTTGGAATGCAAACGAGCTGTAAAATGGTTATGTGATTATATTGCATATCAATGTTGGCGACCTCCTCCAGCACATTCCAAAGATTTGCATTCTTCTATTGTAGCAGCATTTGGTTGTTTAACGACCTGGTTAACTGCTCATTCTCAATTACTACAGGTTAATCTTATTGTATTAATAAAGAAAAAAAATACAACTTATTCTAAATGTGATAATAATATGCAATTTTATAGGATAAAGATTGTTTAACAACAGTATTAGAAGTAGTAGAATTAGGAGTATCAGGTACAAAAAGTATTGGTAAACCAGGTGAACCAATTAAAATGAAGGATGAAAAAGAATTAAAGCCAGCATCTATGCGTGTTAGAGATGCTGCAGAAGCTCTTCTTACAATAATATTAGAACAGGTATTTATTATAATTTCTCCCTTAATATTGATTGTAATCAATATAATATATAATAAATAATTGATTTGTCTTATTGTTAGGTCGGTTATTTTCCTAGTGCTTGTGGTGCACAGTCATTGTCATCTTTACTGGATGAAGTATCATTGCTTCGGCATTGCAATAGTTGGACTGGTGGTCGTGTTGCTCGGCAAGCAGCAGTTGAAAGATTCCGTTATTTTGTTGCCGAAAATGCAACGATTCTAGCTTTATTAGAAGAACCTTTAGGAAATGATCAGGATCCACAACCTACTGTAACTGTTTTAATACGCGGACCATTTGGTAGACATGCATGGACTCTGCAATTACGACATTTGCCACGTCATAGATCTAGTATTAGAAGCGTAAATACAAATCCTGGCCGACCTTTACCATTGAATGAAGCGGCACCAAGAACGGATTATAAGCCTAAATTTTTCCCCGACAATGTAGATAGAATACCTCACTGCAAAGTGTATGTATTATTTTTATATATATATATATTTTTTAATACTATTGGCAACTAAGCGATTGCCGGATTTCAAATAAGAAGGAAACGACAAAATCCGCAATCACTTAATTGCCAACAATATATTATACTATAACACTATATAGTCTAATCTAAAATAGAAATATAATAAACATTTTAAAACAGAGATGAGTCAATACCTAGCCTTGAAGCTGTTATGAATGATAACGAATCAATTAGAAACGAGCATGAGCTATTATCGCAGTTGCTGGAACGTCAGATAAATCTAGAAAAAAAATATGATGATGTCAGTAATAAGGAAATAGATGAAAAAACTGAGGAATGTGCACCACCACAAATATGTCACGAATTCCAAACTGCTCGTTTATTTTTAAGTCATTTTGGTTTTCTCAATATTGAAAATAGAGAAAGTGAAGAGTCCGGAAATAGTACTCTTACTGCTTTAGATCCTACTATTCCAGGATTTTGTACGGATTTGGAAACATTAGATAATATTAGTTCAAGAACATGTGATACTGTTCATATATTTTATGTCAAAGCAGGTCAGAAAACAGCACCCGAAATATTGTCCAATGTAGTAAGAATTTAATATATTTTTTATTCTTTAAATTATGTCTTGCCTTAACAAAGGAAAAGAAAAAGCGTTTAACATAGAGGACATATGGTTAATAAATGTTAATATTTTGTAGCTTCATGAAAAAAATGTATCACCAAATTTTTTGGAATTTCTTAATTCACTTGGTTGGCCAGTAACAGTTTCTGCACATGCTGGTTGGACTGGCCATGTTTACACCTCATGGAAAGTAACTCCACAAATGAACGTTTCACAATCAACTACTAGTGATCATGGTGGTTCTCTTTATAATGGTGATACACATGTATTATATTGGGCGGATGTCAGTGCAGAAATTGCATTTGTTGTACCAACACAGTCATTTATAATGACAAATTCAGATTCGTTAGAAGAAGCTAGTTATACAAGTGATACTAGTAATGGTCAATGTAAGTATTACATAAATTAGGAAATAATGGGCGATGTCTTTTGTTTTAATTAATTTTCATATGTTTTGGATTATATGTAGCTTGGTTTGAAAGAAGTATTAGTGAAAGTGGTGGATCTCGTTCCTGTACCATTCCACAGAATTCAAGAACAATGTCGCTTGATTTTGAAAAACAACCATCAAGTTTTTCAGGCTCAGGTCCACCTAGTTCCTCAAGTGCGGATCCTGTTAAACCAAGAAGAACAACAAAACATTCTTTACCAATACAAACAGATACAAGAATTATGGTGGTATGGCTAGAAAGCTTGGAAGATTATACTCATTTTCCAATTGGTATGAATATTATGTTAATATACATTTATATCGTTTAGTTTTAATAAAATATTTATAATTAATTTTATAGGAGATATTCTACCATTTACACATACTGGTTTAGAATATTGTAGAACAGTTCAACCTTCTGATGTACAAGTAATTTTTCTTCAATCCCTTGCTAGTGGACTCATGAGAGTCAGATTACAAGGTCCAACTTCTAGAATAAATTTAGCCACTCCATTGATTGATGGAATGGTTGTATCTAGAAGAGTATTAGGTACTCTTGTCAGGCAAACGGCGTTAAATATGGGTCGGCGTAAAAGACTTGATAATGACAGGTAATAATGATTATTCCAAACATATTTTTAAATGACTCATTGTAAACTCTTCTCGTTTAAAAACTAAAAATATTTTCAAAGAAAATTATATCTTATTATTTTCTGTAAACGGTAATGTATTTTATTTTTTACAAATTCATCACATTCTTATACTTTTTTTATAGCTATCATCCACCACATGTTAGAAGAAGATTGAAGATTCAGGATATGGTTCAGAAATATAAAAGAAATTTATCTGAACCAGAATTATTAACACTTTTGTTTAGTAGTACCCAAACGTATTAAATTTTTATAAAGAATCAATATCCTACATTATAAATATATTTCTAATATACTTAATTCTAAAATCAAAATCTTATTGTTTTCTAAAATAATAATGCACATAAAGGTATATAAATTGCACAAAAAATAAATTATACTGTTTATCTTAGTTATATTCAATCTACTCTTTATGTGATTAGATATAAAACTTTTTCCATTGTAAAATATTATTATATACTTTGATTACATAATTTGATTTAATCCAACAATGTAGTATGTCATAATGCTAAACTATATCGTATGATTAAATTAATTGGCTTCTTTAAGCAACATTAAAATAATATCATCAATTAACCCTTTTTTTTTACAGGGGCATGAATTATTTATTATAATTCTGTTTAACCAGCAATTATATTTCTTTGTATATATAATATTAAGGTAACAAAAATTTTAGTAAATTTATTATAATTTTAAAACTATTAAAACATTAAACATATTTATATATAACAATATAAAACAGAATAATAAAATTAAAAAAATCTTTTAAAAATTATTTCAATTATTTAAATTTTAAAACTTATAATGTTAATAAATAATTTCATTATATTGAGAAAAACGACAAAACATTTTATTGTTCTTTTTTCTTTTTTTTTTTTTTTTTACACTTAAGTTGTTTACATAAACAAATACAATAAATAATTACGTTTATTGTAATGAACTCAAAGGGGAACTAATTACAGTATAATGATGGGATGATTATGTCATAGAGTTTTACTTCTTTCCTTTTCTTTGTTCGTATATTTATATAACAATTCTTTCAGTCAATCAAATGGGGGTCAAATGGATACATTTAAGCGACGCCTCGAAACAATTTGACCATGGTTCTATCAATCCATTTAAAATGTTTTACAAGTTTGCTTTCCGTTTCAAACAAAGTTAATTGATAAAAAATATTAAAATGTTAACTCTTTAAAAGTATATTAAAAACAATTATGTGTGTATATATATATATATATGTATATATAAAATTAAATATATATATAATATATATATTAAATATATATAATAAATAAATAAATAAATATATATATATATATATATATATATATATATATATAATTAAAACAGTATATGCGCAATTTCATCGATATTTTTTTTAATAATTTCATTTAAATTTTGGAGTGACTTTAAACTCTTTATCATTATATGACATACGTCTAAAATGACTGTGTCAGAATCATACAATATTGTCCAATTAAAGCAATACCGTTCAATTTGGTATTTAAAAGGAGCTACAGAATATTATATTGCATGAGCATTGATATTGCAAGTCATAATAGATAAGTTGATCGATCGATATCTCTCACTTTACTTATGATTCATTCTGATCAAGAATCAGTCTGACTAATTTGTTACATGAGCATAAAGCTTGTCACATTTTTAGAAAGTACTTTTTCTTTATCGCAATGATATATTAAAAAATACTTGAATATCGCCATTTAAGAGATAAAAAAAGAAAGATAACATCACAATTATAGATCTTATCAAAACTTAAAAGTATGATGTTTATTCTTTTTTGTCAGTATGGTAATAAATTTAATTTCTACTTATTCATGATCCTTGATAGAACGTAACAGTCTGCAATTCGAGATATTTGTTCTGTATATAGAAACAGAAAAAAATACTGCATAATCATTCACACTGTACTGTTGTCTGGATTCAACCCGTTAACTTCGTGAAGAATATATATCTCTTACCATCTTAAAGTGACATCAATCGTTGTCATTGATATCAATCTCTTGGTGTTGAATATTTTTTTTCTTTCTTTTTTTTTTTTTATTTTTTTATTTTTTTTTTGTGAATGGAATAATCATTTTTAAAGTACTAATTATAATACAAAAAGAACAAACAAATCTCTAACATGGTATATATACGTATATATATATATATATATATATATATATATATATATATATATTAAAGTACATGTATTAAATAAATTAATATAAATTTCGGCGATATATTATAAAAAGTTCGTATGAAAAGAGGATAGTAGTATTGATTTGTAATTATATAAGTATTTCGTAATTAATTTCTCGTTTGATATATTTCCAAAATTATTATGTCATCATTATGAAAAGTATTAATGATAACAAATAATAAAAAAGTTTTGACAAAGATTTATATATATATATATATATAAATTATATAGCAGGTAATTTGAAAAATTTAATTAATTATTTTCCGTATATTGATATTTGTATTTAAAAGAACAATTAATATAATTTATTGAATAATCGTAAGTTTGTTTACGAGATTGATAGAATAGAATATATGTGTGTAACATTGTGCAATATCAGAAATCAGTAGTAATTCGAAAGAACCTGTTCGCGATACTTTCAAGGCCAGATTCTAAATCCAAGTAATCCATGATGATAACGATATATCTATAAAAGCTATATACCGTTTAGTTCTTTTCACTTTTTATTTTCTATATCTCTATGGGTTATTTCTATTCTAAAATGTTTTCTTTTTATAAAACACTGACGTTATTTTATATAATAACATTTTATTTCATTTCTTTTGATAAGAAATAAAGTAAAAGAAAATTTACTTAATTTATTTACATATTTAATAAAATTAATGAAAAACGCATTCGTACGTTACCTGAAACAGCGCTCGGTATGACGTATCCATTATATTATGTACATATTATTGTATGTAGGCATACATTTGTGTATGTATTATGTATGCATGTATGTATGTACGTATGTGTGTGTGTGTATGTGTGTATTTTTATATAGCCTTTAAAATTGTACGAATGATGATGAAATTTTAATTCTCACATATATCTTTTCTATATTATACATTCTAAAGGGACGTGAGATTAATATACGAATATTCATCACTTTTTTATGTGATGTATAGATAACAGATAACATACAGACATTGTTGACTGACAAACTGACGAGTATTGCACAAGATAGTATTATGGAAGATGTCGTTATATAAAGACCTCCTATGTGATTAAAACAAATAAGAAAGAAACTAAAAGCTATTATAACAAATTATTATTTGTCGGGGAATTCTTTTTTATTAAACACAAATATTATGAAATATATTTCGATATTTAATTTATTTATTTATTTCTTTATCGGTTCTTTTTCTTATATCTTTTCTTTTTTCCTTTTCGTTCGTCCTTTCCGTTTTTCTTTTCTTTTTTGTTTTTGATTTTTTATTGTTTTTTTTTTTTTTTTTATTTCTTGTTAAAACAAATTATTTGTATGAAAGGTGCAAAAAAAAAAAGAGAGAGAGAGAGAGAGAGAGAGAAAGAGAAAAAAAGGAAAGCAAATAAGTTAAGCATTGTAGATTTATCGAATGTCGTATTCTTTAAAAATATTAAGATGACAATTGCACAATTTAAACGTTACAATCAATGTCGCTTTCAAATGACATCATCTGAGCCATCTCATTGGTTAAATTCCTCTGCAGTGACTGAGTTTATTAATGGAGCCATCTGTTGGCCATTTTAAAGTTTCAGTCAACGGTTCGACGCAGAGTTCAGTTAGCCTGAACGCAATCCCTTGCAGTCTCTATTTGCCCGTTAATGGGTAATGTTGTTTCAAGTGTTATTCGTAGTTTTGTGATTTATTCAGACAATTAACCAGGAAAGATTTGATTTACTAAGTATAGCCGTAGACGGGCATAATAAATTACATCTCGTGCTTTAGGTGAGTGTTGTGTCTGTGATATTTGTTCTTTTTTTTCTTTCTTTCCTTTTTCTTTTTTTTCTTTTTTTTTTTTTTTTTATCCTTAATAGTGTGTTACGAACGACGTGAATTATATATTATCTAAGAGGAAAAAAAGGGATAATGGGATGTCGAATCAGTGGCGGGAAAGAGGGAGAGAATGAGAGAGAGAGAGAGAGAGAAAAAAAGAAAGAAAAAGAGGTGTATTGGCCTCGAATAGCATGTGTATGTATAATTCTACAAATACTTTTTACTAGGTCCTTGAAAATACTCATACCACATATACAAGGAAAGATCAGTGAAAGATTAAATGTATCGATATGGAAAATCAAACTATGGATCAATTTTGCGGATCCAAATTTTGGGTGAGCTTTTTTATCGAGCTATATATTTGCATTTGTATATATGTATGTACACATATATATACATACATATATATATATGTATATATGTATATATGTATATATATATATATGTATATTCATTGTCTTCTAAAACAATAGTTTTGTTTCGCGATAGAGACTGACAAACACGAGCGGTTTAATTATATATATATATATATTAATTAAATGAGATGATAAATATAATCAACATTTTTAACATTTATTTTGAGCGTGTAAGATTAAAATTGTATGTGTAAAAAATGTGATATAAAATACGTTGTATTTTATCTTTGTTTTTAAATACGATCTTATATGGTAAGAACTAATTTTTGATTAATCATAGAACGATTATATAATTTTTGTTTTCAATGTCATTTTTCATCCCTTTGATTTTATTCCCAAGCAATTATAAATCGTATAATTTATTTAAATTTATCCTTAAATTATTTTGAGATAAATTGCAAATTTTAAATGTAAAATTTAAATGAAATTTTTGCCCGTTCTGATAATACTATTATATTAAAAGAATTTTGAATGTATATTTTTTATGTTAAATTAATCAGAAAAATTACAAATTAAAGTTAATTATTATTTTAGGATACTGATTTATCATGGAACACAGATGATCCAGATCTGACAGAATGCTTTCAAAAAACTGTATTAATATGGGTACCATGTGTGTTTCTTTGGTCTTTTTCTGTTATGGAAGCTTATTATATGTTGAATAGTAGAAGAAAAAATATTCCATACACATGGTTATATATATCTAAGCAAGTACTTACAACAATATTAATTGTACTTACCATTGTTGATTTAGGAAGAGCTGTATACAAAAGTTATTATGAGGCTGTATACAATGTAGATTACTATACTCCCTTTGTAAAGATCATTACTTTTGTAAGTATATTATTTTAAATGTCTATATATCTATTTGAAAAATATTCTATTTTATATATTCTATTCTTTGCATTTTTTTTTTTTTTATCTTAAAAAAGTTTAAAGATGAGTAATACTCAGACAGAAATTCCAAGTATCATATTTTCAATAATTCAATTATATTTTTATTTCAGATCCTAGCAGGAATTTTACTATTCTATAATAAAAAGTATGGAATGCGTACATCAGGACTACTATTTTTGTTTTGGTTTTCGCTTGTATTATGCGGAATTGTGCAATTCAGAACTTTATTAAGGCAAAATTCAAATGAAGTAGGTTTTCTTTCATTCTTTTTTCTTTTTTTCTCTTTCATTTTTATAAGTTTATAAAAGTATAGATAAAATAAAATATTGTTTTCAGAAACCAACGTACCTGTTTGTATCATATATGATCTATTACAGTTTAGTAATATCAATGTTCCTATTAAATTTCATTGTTGATGCAGAGCCTAAATATTCGGAATATCCATTGGTAAGATTTGAATTTCTGAAAAAATTTATAAAACAATAAAATATGACGATACTTTCAAGATAAAAGCATATAAATATGGATGTTATTAATAAATAGATGGAAAGACCGTGTCCAGAACAAAATTCATCTTTTCCATCAAGACTTTCTTTTGCGTGGTTTGATGCTCTGGCATGGAAAGGTTTTAAAAAGCCTTTGGAATCTACAGATTTATGGTCTATGAATCCTGAAGATACGGCTTCTGAAATTGTTCCAAAATTTGATAGGCATTGGAGTAAAACTTCAAAAAAAGGAGATAAGTAAGTTTTACTATTTTTAGAAATATTTTTTTTTTTGTATTTTGGTATGTTTAGTTGTGTATGTAATACATGTGTATATTAAATGATGATACATACAATAAAATATAGGTAAGCACATGTAATTCAATAATAAATTATTTATTTATTTGGCTAACAAGGCTATTTTGGTCTTACTTTAGGTAAGCTTTGTAATAATACATGTTTTGATAGTCTTTAAAAAGAACTTGAAATAAGATTTTTTTTTTAGTGTACAAAATGCAAAAGCATCATTTAGAAAATCATCTGGTCAAGTTGATTTTGATAATGATCGTAAGAAAAAAGTTTCTTCTATTTTACCAGCACTTTGTAAAGCTTTTGGTGCCACTTTTTTATTTGGTGCAGTACTTAAACTTATACAAGATATTATGACTTTTATTAGCCCACAATTATTAAAGTAAGTACAACATAATTAAAATCTTCTAATTAATTATTTATGAATGCTTCTACATGATATTTATTTTTGTTTTCTTTTTTACAGATTACTTATTAGATTTGTAAGCGGTGGCGAACCATTGTGGAAGGGCTATTTTTATGCAATTTTACTCTTAATTACAGCTACACTTCAAACTCTAGTATTATCACAGTACTTTCATCGTATGTTTTTAGTTGGATTACGTATACGAACTGCACTGATAACAGCTATTTATAGAAAAGCATTGAGAATGTCAAATTCTGCCAGAAAAGAATCAACACTGGGTGAAATAGTAAATTTAATGTCCGTTGATGCACAAAGATTCATGGATTTGACAGCATATATAAATATGATTTGGTCTGCGCCATTACAAATTATTTTAGCACTAACCTTTTTATGGGAGAAATTAGGTCCAGCTGTACTTGCTGGATTAGCTGTTATGATTGTTCTTATTCCTATAAATGCGTTAATTGCAAATAAAGTAAAAACATTACAAATTCGACAAATGAAAGACAAAGATGAGAGAGTTAAATTAATGAATGAAGTTCTTAATGGAATAAAAGTATTAAAATTATATGCTTGGGAGCCATCTTTTGAAGAACAAATACTACGCATTAGAAGGAAAGAAATACAAGTATTAAAAGAAGCAGCATATCTAAACGCAGGAACAAGTTTTATTTGGTCTTGTGCGCCATTTTTGGTATGTTAATGATGATATTTTATATTCTACAATAAACAACTTATTAAGTTTTATTAATTTTTTTTTTTTTTTTTTTTTTTTTTTTTTTTTTTTTTTTCAAATGAAAGGGCATTAATGTAATATGAATTTTCAGGTTTCATTGGTATCCTTCGCTACTTATGTACTTATAGACAAAAATAATGTCTTGGATAGTGAGACTGCATTTGTTTCGCTTAGTTTATTCAATATTTTACGATTTCCTCTTTCTATGTTACCAATGATGATAGGTAATATAGTTCAGGTAATGCCAAAATGAATTTACAACATAACAAAAATTAAAGTTATTTTAAATATAACTAATTAATTCTATAATTTTAATAATATTGTTTTTTTAGGCTTATGTTTCCATTAAACGTATCAACAATTTCATGAACACAGAGGAACTTGATCCTAATAATGTACATCATGATCAATCTGAATGTAGGTCAATTGTAAAATATTATATCATTTCTTTCGTATATGAGAAATATGATTTTGATTTTATTTTTTAGTACATCCATTAATTATTGAGAATGGCAGTTTTGCTTGGGATATGGAAAGTAGTGATAAACCAATCTTAAAAAATATCAATATGAATATAGAACAAGGCCAGTTAGTAGCAGTAGTTGGATCAGTTGGATCTGGAAAGAGTTCTTTAATATCAGCTTTTCTTGGGGAAATGGAAAAATTAAATGGTCGTGTTAATACAAAAGTAAGTACTTAAATTACTTTGTTAAATAATGTAATTTTAATATTTCAAATTTTTTTTTTTACTTATTATGTATATTGATAGGGTTCTATTGCATATGTTTCTCAACAAGCCTGGATACAAAATGCAACTTTGCAAGATAACGTTTTGTTCGGAAAACCTTTAAACAAAGCTTTATATAATCGAGTTATAGATGCATGTATGTTAGGTCCAGATCTTCAAATGTTGCCTGCAGGAGATCAAACAGAAATTGGTGAAAAGGGTATAAACTTATCTGGAGGTCAAAAACAAAGAGTTGCTTTAGCCAGAGCAGTATATAATGAATCAGATATATATTTCTTGGATGATCCTTTAAGTGCTGTAGATGCTCATGTGGGAAAACATATTTTTGAAAATGTGGTAGGCCCTAGTGGTCTGTTAAAGAAAAAGACAAGGGTACACATTACACATGACATTGTCTATCTACCTGAGGTTGACAATATCTTTGTTCTTAAAGATGGTGAAATAACAGAAAGTGGAACTTACAAACAGCTTATGGACAAAAGGGGTGCTTTTGCTGAATTTCTAATGCAACATTTACAAGAAGGTATGCATCAATTTCCGTATAATTTTTAATGGCTTAAATAGGTCATTAATATAAAATTATATTTTTCCATGGGTCTTAGTTGGAAATCGTAAGTTAGTGAAAAAGTAATTACGAATTTTTTTCTATTTCTATTTATGCTATTCTTAAAATATTATGTTGCACTCGGCTTTAATATTTATTTATTAAAAGCAAAAGTATTTTACACATGAGTAGTAGCTTAGATTCACTAATTGATTTGTTAAAGAGTGTAAATTAAATCCATGATTGCAGCATATATTATAGTATTACTATAACATCATTGTAAAAAAAAAAAATGCATGAAAAATTTTTCAAATACTTTAATTAATAATACTTATACCTAGCAGTGTTTCAAATCCTTTATTAAAAAGATAATATTTTATTGAGTATGTAGCAATATTAATTAACCTAATACTAAAATATAGTATAAATTGACCCTAAATTAGCTTCTTCTGGTTATGCCTTTATCGTTTTAATATTAATCAATGTTAAAATATATTAATTATTGTAAAATCGACCTGACAAATTTGGAACAGTGCACACTGATGATGGTTCGGATCCAGATTTACATGAAATTAAGCAGCAATTGGAATCAAAAATGGGTACACAAGAATTACAAGAAAAATTAACACGTGCTAGGTCAAGAATTTCAGAAAGTCAAAGTGAATCAGGCTCTATAACTGATAGAAGATCATTAAATGGTTCTTTGAAAAGGTAAGATAAATATTAAATAAAAGTTATATTTATATAAACATCTTTTATCATCTGCATAGGCAATATTCTACAGAAAGTCAGCAGTCTGGAAACTATCTAACTGGAAATAATATAAAGGAAAAAGGTGTATTACAGCCAAAGATAGGTGAAAAATTAATTGAAGTAGAGAAGGCTGAAACTGGCAGTGTAAGAGAATGAATCATTTTATATATATATATTATAAATAAAAATATTTTGATATTCGAAAATTTAAGATCCATTTCTAAATTAGGTAAAATGGAAAGTGTATTCTCACTATTTAAAATCTATTGGATGGTTCCTATCTATATCTACAATAGTTATGAATGCTGTTTTCCAATCATTCAGTATTGGATCAAATATTTGGCTGAGTGCATGGTCAAATGATAATATGACTTCTGCGGATGGTAAATCCATAAATGATGAAGCAAAACGAGACATGTATCTTGGAGTATATGGAGCTCTTGGTCTTGGACAAGGTATGTTACAAAAATTATATTAACTCCATATTTTATTTTATAAAGTTGACAGATAAGATTTCGTTTATTTCCTGTAAGATTTGAGTATTTTCATGGAAGTATATTTTATTCAGGTAAGCATTTTTATGTTGTGTTATCGTATATATTATTAATATAAATACAGAAGCCGATTATTTATTTGTGCCGCTAACAAATTATAACCTTGACTCGTGCTGTTTTATAATTGTATTATTGTACAAAAAGGGCATGTTCCTTTACATATTTTTATGGGGATATTTATGTCCATATCAACCTAATACGAAAGTTATGCATTCTGAAAAAATTTATTTTATCATTACTATATTAAATTATATTTCTCTTTTTATAACAGAGGGTTTTATTTCTTAATTATTCCAAAATTATTTCTAAAAACGTATTGCCACACATTATTCGAAAATATATGTTAATCAGATGTTAAGTTCTAAGTGGTAGTGCGAGTGTGGTTTGCTGTGTCAATAAAGCATTCTTATAATACTTATATTATAAAACTTCTGCTTTCTAGTAGCATATGTTTGAACACAAATATGTTATTATTGATATCTATTAACTAAATCTATTTTTGCATGTATCTTCTTTTATATCTTTTACTTAAAATATTTTCGATTTCTTATAACATAGAATAGAGAAATTTAAATTAAAATTTAGATGTTTATAGAATATATGTTTGAAGCTTAATATTAAATATTAAATATGAGCATGAAGTAGCTGAATAACAAATTTCATCTATTTGTATATTAAAAAAAAATATAAAATATTCTTGCATAAGTAAAGATGGATGTATATACCAAATTATGGAAATCTATATTTCTGTGTTCTTTTTAGTTAGAAACTATGTTTTTGTAGTTAATTTTGGAATTATTTTGCAACTGAAATATTATTATCAATAATATCAACAATTTGTTGCACAGACTTATGTTGGACTTTTTAAATTATTAACAAAAATGGTGCTTAAACCTTTAATATTTGAAAAATTAAATGTGTACATAAAGGCTTCTGTTTTCATTTTGTGACAAAAATCGTACAGATATTTCTACATTCTGCGATAATACTTTCATAATTGGTATATTTGTAATTGATATTATTTAAATAATTATATTATATAAAAAAAAAAAATTATATTAAGAACATTTAATACGCGATAATAATTGCATTTATTTCATACTACAATTCATTTGTTGCAATAAGTTACAATTAAATTTCAGCGACTTTTGTGATGCTTGCACAGCTGGCGTTGGTTATTGGCTGTTTAAGGAGCAGTAAATTGCTGCATTCAGAATTGTTATTTGCCACACTGCGATCACCTGTCGGATTCTTTGATACTACTCCATCTGGCAGAATATTAAATCGTTTTGGAAAGGACGTTGATGTAATAGACAACGTTCTGCCACCAAATATTAGGGCCTGGTTATTTTGTCTAGCGTCGGTATGTGAGATTTCAAATTAATCTCACAGAATAGATAAAGTTCTTTTTATTTTGTAAAAATTACACACCTATGTTGCTTAAAATATCACTACTAAGAATAATGGTCCACCAATGGGTACAAATGTAATTAATTTATAAAAGCAAAATGTAGGAAAACTGACATCTTAAGTTTTTTGTGGTTTTTCATTAATAGCTGTTTTATTATAGATGTAATGAACTAATAGTAAAAAGAATATGTAGTAACAAATTATGTAGCTTTTAACTTTTGATAGAGTAATATTTAGTTTCTTCTGCTTTGTTCGGTCGCTATATAATTTATTTATTGCTTTTACTATAACTTTGCATAATACAATTTGTTTTCTTTTCATTTGTAATGCACCTCTATTCATGTGTGATTGCAATCAGAAACTTACACATTATACTGGGCAGGTGATACGCTATAATCAAAATTGTTGTTCATTTTTTATGCCATCAAATTGATTATGAAATGACGTAAATGTTAATATAATTGTCAATTTAATGTCTACCAAAGTTGTCACCAATCATTGTAGGCCTGACAGTACTTGGAACGGCGTTTTTCGCGGCAAAGGGGATGGTAATCGCTTCCACGTGTCTCTTCCAGAAAACAATGTGCCATGTTCTTCACAACCCGATGTCGTTCTTTGATCAAACGCCAACTGGTCGCATTCTTAGTCGACTCGGTAAAGACACCGATGTTGTTGACAATATTCTACCAGCCATACTGCATTCTTGGATCTCTTGTCTCTTTCGGGTATGATATTTTTCACGTTGAAATTACAACGTTTAACAAATATTGATTCTTAAAAAATTATTACAAATGAAAATTTCTAATCAGTCAATATTATGTTGTTGACTTGTTATAAGCAATTGCTTGTTGATCTTAATGTGCTAATTGAGGTACATGTTTTCCATGACTTATCATTTTTTATCAAAGTTTACAAATATTTAATTTCAAAATCAATTCTTGAAATTTGCCTTCAGCTTAAGTATAATGTCTATAAAGTGTACTGGTATTCTTATTGCTATTATTTTACTTTAAATTGCTTGTCTGGAAATCGATTATTTCTAATGTTTTAAATATCTTTTATTACACTTCGTGTATTTAATTTTATTAAAATCATTCAGTGACAACTTCTGAGTTCAGTTGTTCAAATTAATTATTACAAACATCATCATCAGCTTTAAATTACAGAAAAATAATTCTAAAATATATTTTAAAATTAGCCCAATGAATTTATATCATATTGCATGTTGATTATTGATGTTTGGTTCTATGAGTTTTTCTTTTTATATTAAAGAAACAAATAATATTTATATAGATTGCATAATATTCAGTATAACTAGATTATAATAAAACTATATTTGTTCATAATACATAGTCACTTAATAATACTATTTGTTCATATCTAAAAAACAAAATTAAATTCTTATTTACTTGAACAAAAATAACTTGATTATTTTTGATATTATAAAACAGATAATATCAAAAATTATATAATAATACATATATATATATTTTCTATATCCCATAAGTAAATCATAGATGTACAAGTTAACTACTTGTTGATTATATATTTAAAAAATATATATTTATTGGGTACATGCTAGATAAAATTGATTAGTTGTCCTGTACAGTTGAAATACATGTTTAGCAAATTTTTTTGCAAAAATACATTCAGTTATTCCAAATAACTTCGAAACGTAATGTTTTATATGCTAATATGTATAAGGGCGCATAAAAAGTTACTTCTATATTATCATATAAAAAATTACTAAATATATATATATATATATATATATATATATAATATATATAATATATAATATATATATATATATATATATATATATATATATATATATATATATATAATGTCCATATATAGTACATTTTCAAATTATAGTAATATAATTTACTATTTAATTAACGCGCGCGTATATGTCGTATGTATGTCTATTTACGAATATTTTCAATACTTCCGAATTATCGTTTTATAAAATTAGTAATATTTATTTATAAATATATTTTATAACTATTTATGAAAAAACAGTATGGAACTTGTTGATAATTTGATATTATTTTTAATATACTAAAGATGTCAGTTTCATTGAAGGAGTATAATGGCTTTTTTATTAGATTCTACATTAGGACAAATCAATTGAATGAATACTTCTCACATTCATATATATATATATTTTTTTTTTTTTTGGGAGGGAATGTAATATTTATAGATTCATTATATTAATATACATAACAATTTCATATTTATTTGGTATTAATGATTGAAAATATATTTTGTTATGAATATTACTTAAATGAAATAATTATTTAATACTATTACTGTACGTACATATAAAATATAAGATATCATATATGATTATGATTATATATATAAAATGCATGTAATATCATAAAATATTCAAATATTATAAAACTGTCTAATTAAAATCGAATTCATATTCATATTTCATTTGTAAATATATCATGGGACACATCTTAAACTGACTGTATGTGCCAATATATTTAAAAAAAAAAAATAATTTTTTGTATTTTAAATGTGTAATTTTTTTAGCAATTAAGGTAATGGACACAATTATACAAGTAATGTATTTATTTAAAGGTAGTAATGCTTGTGCTTGTTATATTTTTAATACTGTATATTTGCTTGCACTGTTTTTACTGTCTTTTAGAAATGTTTTTTTTTCTCTTTTTTTTTTTTTTTCAAATTCAGTAAAGATAGTTCCCATTTTTATGAATTGATTTGTTCCAATCTCTTTCATATTGTGAAAACTTATATTTCCCATAAAGACAATGTAATGAAAATATTCTTTGTTCTTAACAATTCATTTTTCTTTTTGAAAATTTTAATAATGTTAAATTAAAAAAAAAGGAAAGATTTTTTAAATATTATATTATTTCAAAAAAAAAAAAAAAAATGTAATGCTATCGTTCATAAAATATAAATTCATAAAATTGGAATTATCTATGCATATGTTAATCTGTTCTTGAAAAATGTTTTCATTATACTTTGCATGTCACAGCAAACTTCACCCCCTCGCATAACATGAGACGAACAAGAATTAAATAAATCAAATATCAGTTTGAAAAGTTATAAAGAAAAGAATATTTATTTTATGTCAAATCATTGTTTGCATATTTATTATTTATAATGTGGCTTATAAAATTTTCAAAAATATTGTGTTCCAAGATATTGTTATAAAAATTTATTAATACTATCCAATGATTTCAATTGATAAAATTCTATTCATTGAAAATAATATAAACCTGTAATTTTTTAAAAATCTTATGTTTATGTAATATAGCATTGGATCCTTAAAATCGTTGACCATCTACAATATGGTTACAATGAAAGCTATCAATGTCTGATGTTGTAGCGATGGCGAGTTTTTTCTGCGATTTGGCACCTCAGCTGGGTTGCTGGCTGGCTGCTCGCCAGATGCACATAATGATGCTGCGTGCTGTGATGCGTGCTCCATTGACCTTCTTTGATACAACACCTACTGGTCGTATTATCTCCAGGTTTGCTAAAGATGTCGACGTACTGGATACATCTCTTCCCCCACAAATTTCTGATAGCATCTATTGTCTTTTCGAGGTAATTTTTGGAAGAGATATGAATCCAAAAAATTAACTTCTTGAATGTTTCATATTATTTTTATATAGATTTTCTTGAACGGGGACTCACAGAGTCTACTTCACTATCTTTAAATAGAAATTCAATATTTGTATATTATTTATTATATTTTTATTTAAAAGCACTAGTACATATATACAGGTATTTGGATTCTAACAAGATATATATTTTATACAATTATTCTATAATTACTTTCGATAATATAAAAATGTGAATAATGAAATTTATATACTATTAAGTTATTAGTTGTATTTTGCATTTTATGAATCGTAGTTTTATATGGATATTTATTTATGCAGTAGTTATATATGCATATTTATTCTTTATAAAAATTAAATAAGTATAATTGTGTCCGTTTTATAAATGCTTATTGTGTGAATTCTATGTATTATAAAAAATTAAACATACTAGATGTGTTCCTGTGATGTACGATGAATGACAGGGCACAATTTTAAATTTGTATTATACATATATATATATATATATATATATATATGTATATGTATATGTATATGTATATATGTTATATGTGTAATTACACATATATCTTTATGTATGTATGTGAGTGCGTGTAAAAAGAATAATAATTGTGTTTAAGGTACATATTGGTGGACCTATGGCATATATTTATCAATCGTGTTCTGCCATGTTATGGGTGTCTCGAAAGACATGGGTGTTTTATTTTGTCAGATTGTGCATGTGTGATATTTCTATCTTTCTTATGTGAAATTATTTTTTTTTTGCTTCGAATATCATAAATTATCCCCATAATATCCATAATATATTATAATTTAAATTTGTTGCTTTTATATATAATATTTTATGATCAATAGCTGGTTATATCTCACATAGTAATAAATATTTTATTTTGATTTTTATAGAAACAAAATATATAAATTTAATTCAATTATTTTAAAATATATATTCCTATTACAGGTAATAGCAACTCTCTTCGTTATCAGCTTCAGTACTCCAGAATTTGTTTCTGTGATCATACCAATAGGACTAATTTATTACTTCATACAGCGCTTCTATGTCGCTACTTCGCGACAATTGAAACGTTTGGAATCTATATCAAGATCTCCTATATATTCACATTTTAGTGAATCTGTAACTGGTATGCAGATGTTTTCTACTACATGTATATTCTTTAAAAAAAAAACAAAAAAAAAATGATAATGAAAATGAAAATGAAAATTAATACATATAGACATATACTTTAATTTTCAGGAGCTCAAACAATTAGAGCATTTGGTGTCCAGGATAGATTTATACATGAATCAGAAAGCAAAGTAGATTTTAATCAAGTTTGTTATTATCCTGGTATAATTGCAAATAGGTATATATATATATATATTTAATGTGTACTAAGTTTTTAATTAAAAATAACATAATTGTAATAATATATTCAACATATGATACAAATATTATAGATGGCTTGCGATACGATTGGAAATGGTTGGAAATTTAATTATATTCTTTGCTGCATTATTTGTTGTATTAGGAAGGAATACTATTAGTGCTGGTATTGTTGGATTATCCGTCAGTTATGCTTTACAGGTAAAATTATTTTTATATCAAAAATATTTTACAATTATCACGTATTAAATTATGTTATAAAAATATGATAAAATCGAATTATATATATATATATATATCTTTTCAGATTACACAAACTTTAAATTGGCTTGTACGTATGACTTCTGATGTAGAAACAAATATTGTAGCAGTAGAGAGAATAAAAGAATATGGTGAAACTCCTCAAGAAGCACCTTGGGTAAATCCTGAGAATGTTCCTCCAAAAGAATGGCCTGCAGAAGGTTATGTTGAATTTAAGGATTACAAAGTCCGTTATAGAGAAGGATTAGATCTTATTCTCCATGGTTTAACATTTTCTGTTAAGGGAGGAGAAAAAGTCGGCATTGTTGGTAGAACTGGTGCTGGCAAATCTTCCTTAACACTATCTTTATTTAGAATACTTGAAGCAGCAAGTGGCAAAATCATTATTGATGGTATTGATATTGCTACTTTAGGTCTTCATGATCTTAGAACTAAATTAACAATAATACCACAAGATCCAGTATTATTTTCGGGAACTTTAAGAATGAATTTAGATCCTTTCGATCAACATACAGATGATGAAGTATGGAGAGCATTGGAGCGCGCTCATCTTAAATCTTTTGTTCAAAGTACTAACAAAATATATTTTTATAAATTTTTGCATATAGAAAAAATTTGATACATAACCGTGTAACATTTTTTTTTTTAATATTTCATTTTAGATTTATTCAATGGTTTGCTTCATGAAGTATCTGAAGGAGGTGACAATCTCAGTGTGGGCCAACGACAACTGATATGTCTAGCACGAGCCCTTCTTCGTAAAACCAAAGTTCTCGTATTAGATGAAGCAACAGCTGCAGTTGATTTAGAAACTGATGATTTAATTCAAAGAACAATTAGGGAAGATTTTAAGGATTGCACAGTTTTAACAATAGCACATAGGCTTAATACAATTCTTGACTCTGATAAGTATGTATTATGTTCTTATTTGTTATATATTATTTCGTATATGAATAATTTATAAATGATATATTTTACAGAGTTATTCTACTAGATAAAGGACTCATTATTGAATATGATTCTCCCGAGGTGCTACTTCGAAATTCATCCAGTGCATTTTATAGTATGGCAAAAGATGCAGGGCTGGTAGCTTAATAATTACATATACATCACAATAATTTGATAGACTATCAAACAAATAAAACAGAGGTTTTATTAAATAAATCCTCCAATCAAAGAAAGAAAATGCATTGATAAAAAGCTGTGAACAAATTATAATCATTATAATTTACAATATACTATTATCTATATATAGATACATTCAAAATATTTTTTAAGGAAAATTTAACATCATACTTAATCAATGTCAAGCACAGCTTAATTTTTTAAATAGTTTAGATACATGTTTGTTATTTAAAATTACTGCCATTTTTAGTAGTGCATGATGCACTTAATGGAAAAAAAATCTACTTATAGAAACAATTATTGCTACAACATTTTTCCTATTTTAGCACAAAAGATAATTATTTCTAGAATTAATATTATTTATTATTTATGTGTTTACCAATTTTTTTTTGCAGCTAATTTCTAAGAAAAGTTTCAACATTGAATTTGAAGCAGAATTAATTCCACCAACATACGTAAATAATATAAAATTCTGTTATGTAAATTAAAGTTCATCTGTCAAATTACTTATATATAAAAAAAAAAAAAAAAAAAAAAAAAAGTTATAAAAAGAAAAAGAATAATATTTCGATAGCAAAAATTTCATTTTTAATTTATTATTCTTGTAAATTGATAAAATTTTATACAGTATCTAACAGATTTTACATTTATAACAATTGTAATTTATGAACAAGCACAACATATAGCATGCTTAGTTTCATGTGATCGTAAGAAGTTTAATTTGTTATTATTACTAATATAAAAAAAAAATATATATATATATATATATATGTATATATATATATATATGATATTAGGATCGACACCAATATAATTCTCTTATAACTATACTTTTGTGGCAAATAAACTTTAATTTACTAACGAATTTTGTCTATGCAAACAGTGATAGTTCATATTTGCACTTATAAATTGATTAACTATTTTCTTTTATACTATATTTTGTGTGATTGATAAATGATGAATGCTTTGCATATATTTACTATTAAATCCACCCAGTGCCACATTCTATCAAAACTATTCAAATATTAGCAATAAATGAATAAACTAAAATACTTTGTTATATATGCAGTTCAAGTTTAAAGGTGTGGCATTGGAAGGATATAAAACTACAACAATGCAAAACAAAATGTTTATTTTCTTGTAAGCCTGTGAAATTATTGAAAAAAAAAACCCTGTATGTGCGTTAAATTTTGTAGATTAAATTTATACATTTCTTTATTGCAGAATAATTTACGTATTATTTACTATATAGCATTTATGTACGAGATTAGATATAACAAACATTACAATGCATTTAAAATACCTCAAATAATATTCTTTAAATTATAAGTGAATTAGAGGGATTAGAATCGAATTAATTTTTAACATTATTTCAATAAATATAAAATAGTTCTTTCTATGTTTGATACAAATTTTTAATGCAATTATTGTTAACAAATTTAATGAATTTATTAAATCAATTAAATCAATATTTATTGAATGAATATTATTAAAGAAATATTTATTATAATTTTATTATATCCCCTACTTCCATAAACATTGGAATTGTAATTATATATTATTCTTTTGTGCAAACTCTCGTATTAACAAGTTTATTATACATTTTATGTATCATGTGTATATATATATATATATATATATATATATATATTATATATATACATACATACATACACACACACACACACATGTAATGTAACGTGGTAATATTTTTTATTATACAATTCCTTTTTACATAACATTAACATAAAAAAAAAGTCAATTTATTGCAAAGTATAGTTCTACGTATAATAAATTCTGCCTTAAAGTAATGTATAAACGTGATTATAGTTATCTTCCTCATGATTTAAAATAAGATTATAATTATAAGGAATTAGATGTAACATAAAAAAAAAAAAAATCACATCTGAATTTGTTACCGAACAGAACGGGTAAAGACCGTAGTGATTAACTTTATTTATGGTTTATTCAAGAAATGAACATAACTTGCCACAATGTTAAATCTATGCTCGAACTCGAAGCACAGACTGTGATGTTGCATTATATTTTATTGAAACCTCTGTTATGTGAATAGATAAAATCATTTTCAGAATATTTATTTTCAATTTCTATATTATGAGTCATATATACCGTGAACTTTACATTACATATACCTTGTGCAAGCAGAAAAAAAAGAAGGAATCTTCATAAATGGATCAATTTGTTTAACAATATTGATAATTATCATGATGATAATAATAATAATGATGATGATGATAATAATGTAATAGGAAGTTACATATTCGAATAGTTATAACAAGGAAATACGAATATCAATTTAACTTATACGTTATGAGAAATAATGCATTGATTATGCAGTTTTGAAATAGCAGGCCTAGTCTACCTTAATAATTCGATAAATATGTATATAAAACTCAGGATGAAAGTACTTTATTTACAATGTATTGTTACAGGAAAGATAAACACACACACACACACACACACACATACACACACAATTTGTGTACTACTTTTTAAAATAATAAGCACTTATATACTATCTATAATTCAATATAATAACGCGAAGAAGGAAAAAGTGCTTTCTCGTAATAAATATCGCATTAATTATCAATTTATTAATCATCTCCTACGAACGTATAATTCGTTTGAATGAACATATTATTTTTGTCTATGTTTTGTTTATTAATTAAGCTAATAATTATGTAATAATCCATACTTACTTATAATGTAAAAACAATATATGAGAGTAAATGTCAGCATTTTTAACATAAATTATAAAACAATTGTTAACACTAATTTAAACATTTCTTGTAATTTTTTTTTTACACTTACCTTCAAAGATACGATTAGATTAAATGTGCAATTAAATGCAATTACATTCAATTTAATCTTAAGTGCGATTAATCTTGTACACTAATATATATGTTACTATAAGTAAAATGTGTTGTATGTATGATGTGTATGTATGTGCGTGCGTGTGTGTGTGTGTGTTACGTATCATAAAAACACACACAACATAAAAAAAAACGCATGATGACTAGTGCATTGCACGAAAATATATATACGATCGCGTGATGTGTAATTTCAAAATTCTATATTTTATGAAACAGTTATAGTTCATTATATATATCGTCTAATTTCTCATTTCAATTTTCTCATCTATTAAATAACTATCTATTACACTATTTTCACGTTCGATGTAAATTGAGATATATATATATGTATGTATGTATGTATGTATGTATGTATATATATATATATATTTAGTTCCTTGAATTTACTTATAATCACATAATCGTAGTGAATACAAAAAATAGTTTATTTTGCTTATCTATTCCACATTGTAAATTGATACTTCATTAATCTTTGCATCTTACAATAGTAAAAAAATATAATAAACCGCATAGTATTTGGTTTATAAGAAAACTATTAATACTTTTAATACTTCTAAAACTTATAAGAAATAAAGGATTAATAAATTTAATAATTACAATAAATACTTCTTTCAATTGTCTATAAAGGAGCCACAAAAGCAAAAAGTACATCATGATTTTGATTTATTAAAGACAATAATTATAATTAAATCTAAGACTGCTAACAATTTAACAAATTTGCATAATGAACACAGCGCAATTGTTTATCAAATACTGAATATTTTTTGCACGAATATATTACAATATAATCGTATATAAATGAAAAAAAAAAAAAAAATGAAGGTAAACATTCTTTTTTAAAAATACATATTTTTTGAATATGAAGAAGTTATATTTATAGATATATTTATGTGTATGTATATGTACACATATGTTTCTTGTGGAGATATGATTTGCAAAATAATAAATATAACATTAAATTGTTTTTTTTTCTTTTTTTTTTTGAATAATCTTAGGAAATAATTTAATCAGAATATTTTGTAACATTATTACAAAATATATTCATTATATTACCTACACTTCTTACATCTACATAGAAACTATATAAATTATAATATACTAGTAGATATATTTGAAAAAAAGAAAACAATAAAAATGGATTTATATCTTATGAAGTTATAAGAAGTGTTAGGATTATAAAAGTAATGTCATATAGAAAGTATTTCTTATAGAAATAGTCATACAAAATAAATTACCAATATACAAATTTCAATTTTATTGCAATGTATTACGCATAGCTCCACAGTACAAATAAAAAAAAATGTCAATTAGTTCCGGGGGAAAAAAAGGTTTTTACAAATGTATGAAAATATTACCATTACTTCTTCAATACATATACCAAATAACATTAAATAACAATATATTTTAAAAATTTGCGAGGCTCCTGTAATCATCTAAAGATTGAAACTAATTGAAATATATTGCATACACACAAAAATGTATATAACTCAGGTAAATACATTTACGTATGTGTTTATGTACATTAGTACTAGTAAATTTTTTTTAATTGAGTGTTAACTTATAAGATAACATATTTTATACTAACTCTAAATCAAGCATTATTTATCTTTTTTACTTAATTCATCATTTGAACGATCTTTGATAGATCGTTGTTTTTTATCATTAACTAATTGAGCTTCCATTTCACCTGAAAAACCAAATTCATTTACTCTTGAATGATCAGTCTTATATATCCATCTCTGATATAAAAATATAAAGAAAACTATATCATCCCGGAAGCAACCAATTCTATAAAGTGTTGGCATTTTTATTACAAATGCAAAGATATCATCAATGAAAGTATTAAGGAATTTATATGACATCATACGCCAAGGAAGATGGGCCACACTTTTAAGTTTATAATTTATAAATAATTGTGGTGTCATCATGATAAATCCAAAAGTTAATAAAAATCCATATAACATACTCAGTATCCAAGAATACCATCCCTTATGTTCTAGATACATTAAAGAATAAATTGCATAACCTCCTATGAGTGGAAAAAGAGCCCATGACAGATATTTAAATGCATGTCTATCGTACTCTTTCGTGGAAGATTCCACATATGAACCTTTATCATGGAAGGATATTTTCGGAAAGACATTAAATATTCTTGATTCTCTATCAACAGTAATATCTATGACTTTGTTAATTTTCCATATTTCAATACACAAACCTATAGCACAACTAATACGAACTACTGTATTTGTTTCATTATCTAACACATAAAGTAGAATAACAAGTGATTGAAAAACATTGAAAAAGACAGATCGTACTGATAGTCCTTCCAAAGATTTACGATTATTCCAAAATTGAATATCTAGAAATAGATAAATTAGAATTAATAAATCATAAGTATAAAATATGTAGATTGATATTAACTCACCATTTTTAAATGCTAAAAATTCAAATACACTATGTAAAATTGATACAATTATAGTCAATCCCAACAAATAAGGATTTGTTTCTAATAGTGTTTCTTTTAAAGTGTCCTGATCCGTATCATCCTCGTCAGATGTATCTCCTAAAAAAATAAAAAAGTAATTCAGAGTATTTTTTCAGATTTAATTAAAAACTTTCACAATGCTTATATTATTGCATACCTAAAACTGAAGATGACCATTTGTTCCTTATAGATTGAGCTGCATAGATTTGCCATTTGAATAATGAAAGAGGTTGATATAGCAATCTAAGCTCTAATTCTTTTACACTATTGTTTAATGGTTGATAATCACGTTGCATATTCCAAAAATCATTCATATATATAACTGGTGTATAATATGATTTTCCAGGCAGGAAATTTATATCTACATATATTATTCACAAATTAATTTTAGTGATATTCATAATTGTTTGTTTTTCTATTATATCATAATTTATAAATATTACTCACATTCATCTAAAGGTTGTGGTACTTGTCCATACATCCAATTTGTTTGGTCAGTTACTAAATTAACAGTTAAATTTGGATGCCAATGTGAGACATATTCTTGATCCATTATCTCTGCTTTCTATCAAGATAAAAATTTATATTAAAAATTTTATCTTTTCTATGTTCACAATACTCATTAAACATTGGAAGAAATCTATTTACTTACTTGTATTTCTTCTTTAGTTGCTGTTGTTTCCCCAGTTAATAAATTATGTCTTTTTTGATATTTAATTTTTTTGAATTTATTTAACATCTTTTTTCTATACGACATATGATCACCGGCATAAACATTTTTGCCGGCTTTAGGATTTGGAGATTTACCAGTTTTAGTAATATATACATGAAGGTAAATAGAACCATTATTTTGTAATTTATCTGATGGAGTAAAAGTATAATGCAGATTTCTAGAACCATCATTATTTTGTCCACTATACCAATCTCCATAAATTAATCCTTGTTCTAGCCATATTAATGCTTTTGGATCATCAAATTTAAAATCTTCAGCTTCGGACAAATAAATATGTAGATCAAATGATGTTCCATTCTCAAATATATTTACGGCTTGTAATTTTGGAACATTATTGCCATTATTAAGTGATGCAGAATTATTGTCTGGTTGATTACGCTTTAATAGAAAACTGATGAAATAAACAATCAGTGCTCTAATGATTAAAGATTTTAATATTGCAAAAAAGGATTCTAAACGGGTAGGTTGATATTTCTTTCTTTCTTCTTCTACCTCCGCATTGATCTGTGAAAAATATAAAATTCAGAATTATTATTTTTTCTATTATCTGTAATAAAAATATATATGTATATAAGAAGAAAGAAAAAGATAAGATTTTTCTATAATTACAATCATATAATAAATTTAAAGCATATTATTTTCATACATAATAAATAATATTTCTTTTAATTCTGATTAATATATTACACATTTTACAGACAATAGATATTCTCATTCTAAATACAATTTTTTGATAAATATCCATAATATGACGTCGTCAAATGACAATGACTTTAATATTATTTGAATGTAATGATAATATATATTTGATAAATTTTTAACGTACATCTCTTTCTTCATTATTTGATTCGGTCGAAACTACATCACCATTTTGCTGATCATTATCCATCTTTTTTTTAACATCTACTTCTAGCTGATCACAATCGTCATCGATATTACCCACCATCGCAGATAAAGTCTTAATGAAGATTAGAATCTTCCTTCTGCATAAATCTATGATTTGTATACTACTGCTATCTGGTATTAGTTTTTCGTACTAAACATACCACACAAATACACATATACACGCATACACATATTTGTATAAAATATGCTGAGTCAAAAATGTCGTCAATGTGTCACACAGACAAGATAAGTATATTATTTTAACGTAACATTAATTTTATATCGAATATATGATCACGGAAGCATAACAAAATACTAAATACTAAATAATGCTTTAATACATGTTAGCAAACCTTCATCATAAAATTATTTATTTATCACTAATATTTGCTTTAAATTATTTGTCTCTATTTAACAATCTAATGTTGTTAGACCTGAACTGTATAAAGTATTATTACTAACAGAACTTTATGCTATTGCAAAACCAATATTTGGTTTGTTTATCGCGTATACAAATATATATACATATATAATTTTTATTTTTTTTTTTTTCAAATACATTTGTATAAATACGAATATATAAAAAACATTGTACATTTATTTATTTATTCATTTATTTATTTATTTTATTTTATTTTTTTTTTTTTTCCATTTATATTACGACATATTGTTGGTTATTTAGTGACGGCATTATATAATGTTTGTACCTATATAGGTATAATTTTTGGTTTTTATTTCATATTTTTGTTACCAACTATCACAATGTATAAATGTTGGCATCTTTTAATATTTAGTATCTTATTTTATTTATATTTTACAAAAATTCATCTACATGTCCATATGCTCATATAATTATTTAATTCCTTTCACTATAATTTTTTAATATTTCTGATTAAACATTGAAATCAATTTTTCCAATTAAAAACATATAGATTATATTTTTTACATTTTGTATTTTCAATATACATACGATATACATATATACGAGTTTAAAAGTATTTCTAAAGATAATAAAATGCTCGAAGAAGACATAAAACGTTTTAAGAAATGAGAAAGATGGAAAAATGATTATATTATGTGATATATGTGATAAAACAAATCTCTTATAATGTTTTTCTCAAAATTTCGAGGATATTTAATAATGTTAAAGAAAAACTTAATGCTTTCACGGCCGTTGTTATGTTATAATGTGATGATCAGCCGCTTACGGTGTCTCACGTCTGTATGATATCGGTTTTCATGACAGCTTTGTATCGAATTTGATATCTTACGTTTATTTAGAGTAAAGAACGACAACATAGGATTAACAAAATCCATCATTAATAGTAAACATTTGAATCTTCTTCTTAGTTGAAAGAAATCATTTATACAATTCATATCAAACTATATAAAGAATATTATTACTCATTGTTTACAAAATTAACATTCATAAAAACCTGACATATTAGAATACATTAGAATGACAAGAATGAGAAAAGTATATGCTGACCTATTATCAGATATATTGATATTGATAGTGATAGTGATAAAACGTCAAATCGTAATGACGAAGATAGTGAAAGTTATATTTATGTTAATATCGTTCGATGAGTTTCTTTGCGAAATTTTTTCAATGACGAAAGTTCTAATGACAATGATTTTGACGAGAATAGCGAATGCATGAAAAATGATTTTTTTTTCTTAAGGGAATCAGATGTAAAGACAATATCTGTAGATTTAACAAATATAAAGTCATATTTAGCTGTCATTATGAGAGATAGATTTTATAGACATACTCATTAAGGAATCAAATAGGTATCATTATCAAAATAATTCAAATAATAACACAAATAGAAATAAAGTATGGACTGATATAAGTATTATTGAAATGAAAAAAAAATTTATTGGTCTTATTATTCCAATGAGATTCGTGTAGAAGTTAAAAGAAAATATTATATTTGTCTACCAATCCATTACTTTATACTTCAATTTTTGGCAATGCAATGATCAAAGAATAATTTCAACAGATATATTGATATTGATATTTTAGTAATAATGAATACTGTAAAAATAGACTCAAATAGAATTAAACTTATAATTTTATATTTAAAAGATAAGTTTTTAATAGTATACAAATCAGAAAGAGAATTGTTCCTTGATGAAAGCATTATACTATAGAGAAAAAAACTATTATTTTACAAATACAATCCTATAAAAATTATAAAATGTGGGTTATTGGTTAAAGCATGATCTGTGAAAGTATCATGGAATACATTTGCAATTTAGAAATGTGTTGTGTACAAGAAAGTAAATGTATATTAACAATATCTTCTTTATTAAATTTTTTTCTAAATTTATGACATCATATTATCATATGGATAATTATTATAATAGTGTTAAAGTTGCACAGCAATTATTGCAAAATAAAACAGTATTTTGTGGAACTTTAAAAAGAAGTAGAAGTGTGTCAGATTATATAAAAAATTTTAATTTAAATGAAATTAAAACAAAATTTTATAAAAAGAATAATGTTATGGTTCAAGTATGGAAGAGAAAAGAGAAACTTTTATATATGATATTGACCATTCATTTTGCAACTATGATTTGAAAGTATATGTCAGAAAACAAACAAAAGAACAAAAAAGCCAAGTAATAGAATATAAAAAATATATAAAAGGAATGGATTGGACTGACCAAGATTTTTCGTACTCAATTCAATTTTACGTAAAACAAAAAAATAGACAAAAAGATCAGTATTATATTTAATAAACTGTGCATTATTTAATGCTTATCAAATTTATAAGAAAGAATTAGAAAATAAGATAATTATTAAAAAGTTTCTATTAGAAGTTGCTCACAAATTATTGAACTTTAGTCCAGAAATAAATGAGTCACAAATGAGTAAGTCAAATGTCTATAGAGACATATTATAGGATATATATATATATCGTCCATTAAATTCAATTTTTGAATAGGTACTTCATACACAAAAAGAGTTATAAAATACTATCCACAAGATAGGTTATTTGCTAATATGAGAAAATATAAAATAAGTAAAATAATAGGACAAGGTGCCATAAAAAATCTTAGAAATGCCTGCAGAGTATACAGTGCAGCAAAAAAAAAAGAAGTTCAACAGCATACATATGTTTTTTTTGTAACATTCCACTTCATGAAGATAAATGTTTTGAAAAATATCATATATTACTAAAGTATTAAATTAATAAAAAATATTTATTAATGATAAAAAAATATTATTATTATCTGTTAAGATTTATATAATAACAGTTTTAATAATTTATTATGACAGTCAGTGTTATCACAATAATTGCGAATAATGAAAACTGCAGACACCTAACCGTGAAAGTGTTAAGGAAAGAACAAAAATAATTATAAATTTATGAGTTGTTCTTAAAAATATTAAATTTAAATTTATACATATTTACATGAATTTTATTTATAATAGTATATTATTTTAAATCATATAAAAATATACTTATTAAATAGATTCGTAGCTCAAATTATTAAATTTATTCTGTCCACCTATGTGAACAATGTTGATTTGTACATACATAATATAATCTCATTTCTTCTTCTGCTCTCCTGGTTTGAGCTTGGAAAAATACAGCTTCTCTGTGATTACATTTAGGACAGGGATGGTCCTCTGTTCTTGGTAAAGTAGGATCAGATATAACATCAGCAACGATGTGTGTCAATTCACTAAGGTTAAAAATGACAATATAACAAATTTATGAGATAATAGATAATGTAATATAATCGTGTATTATTGATACGGGTTAATACATACTCAATTTCGTGCATAATTTTGTTTACATATATACAATTACTATCAGCTAATTGTTTAAAATCACAATTCCTGCACTGTAAATATAATTTTTTTAAGGTTAAGTTCTCCATCAGTTCTTTAATGATACGATATTATTGAATTTTTAATTAACAAATACTAACCGCATACATAAGCACTTTGTTTTCCTTATCTTCCTTTGGATATAACATATTATTACATTCTTGACAAAATCTAATACCAACAAATCCAGGGCCATCATCGTGCGTATCGTATCCCGTCATTTTTGACATCACTATCGAAATGTTTTATGAAATAGAATAATAAAGATATTTCTTAACAGTTTCACTTCATTCGCACTTTACATGAAACATAAAATTTAGTTGCACGTCTCATTCGTTTTCATAAAAGTTCGTTATAAGATTAAACAATTTGATTACTAGATGGCATCTATTCGTTTGGTAAGTTTATGTCTGCTTCGGTTTGCTTCAGTTTTCTGTTCCTTTTATATGATTTTAATATAGCTTTTTTTTCAGATTTAATTAATTTTCATGACCAATCAGAAATAAATAATTTTTGAACAAGAAGATTGGTTAAACGTAGATAAATGCACAAATGTCCAATTAAAAGTGACGAAGTTTATTCTGATTGGTCCATATATTTTTTCATTTACATATTCAGTAATAAATAATATTATAGTTAGAAGAATTAACTTTTTATTATTTGTTATGACTTAACAAAATTATATTTCAATTTATAAATAATAATACAGGTATATATAATATATTATTTGTTTATATTATATATACATTCAAAAATTAACGTATTTTCCATAACTGTTTAATAAGATTTTTCATTGGTAAATTTCAAATTGATATCTTTGCGCAACTAATATTGTTTATAATGTCCGTATATAATATTATATAGTATTGCAATATAATTTATTGTCGATTAAATGTAAAAATATATATTAATTATTTTTCATAACTACATAAAATAGATAAGAAAGATGTGTCAATATATTTTAATTAGAGAGAAACAGAGAGAGAGAAACAGAGAGAGAGAGAGAGAGAGAAAGAGACAGACAGAAAGAGAGAGAGAGAGAGAAAGAAAGAGAGAGATACTCCTTTCTAAATTTCTTAAAATTATTTTGATTATTGTTCTGCGCAATGATGGATGCGCACTGTATGTATATAAAATTTAACGAGCTTTATCGTTTTACTTTAATGTATCGATCAAGTTGGACATTTGTAAAATTTTATCATTGTATAATCATTATGTTAGATACGAATGACGAAAGAATATTTTATCCTTTGGAAATATTATGCTTCATCAAAATTTTAGTAACTATGCATCGCGTGTAGGAAGTAGTTAGCGATAATGTCAAAAGGTGCGCTAGTGTTCCACTAAGCTACCCCCAGTCTTACTACCCCCACCCTTCCGTTTCAGCTCCCCTAGCTAGTGCAAATCTCGACGGATGAATGTTTTCTTAAGGGATTCTTCCCGAAACCGACGCGAATTTATAAGAGGAGTCATCTGAGGCTTGTAATTGTGAGTGAAATATTTTATATTAAAATCAATCGTCGAGCAAGCCGTTTTGATATTCGTCGATTCATGCTACTTTGGTTTCATAAACTAAGAAGAAACGTGATACTTGTGTTCAAGGCGTTCCTGGGGGGTGATGGTACTCACGCCGACAGCGTCTCCCACAAAGATTTCACCATTTTTCAATTAACAAAAAAATTGTCTGCGTCGCACACACGTCACAAATTCTTCGGTTAACCTGTCGGCTGGTACGCTTTGAACACGTGATTACGATAAATGCCGCGCAAGTAGAGCTTTAATTTCAAAGTTATTTTTATGGGGATTCTGGTTTATATATCCCGACTGATTTGTTTTGTTGCATGCTCCTACTAACGTTCTTATAGATTTTTCTTAGAACTCTCTACCGTTTCGTTTCTTTTTTATTGGTATATAGCGTTAACGCGATTATACATTCTAATTTGAATAAGGATTAGCTGCACAATTTATATAACTGAAGAATAGTCTGTATCTAAGTGTAGTTTGGTATATATTGTTGTTACCACAGTTTCTCATATATTGGACAGCCATATTGTACATTTTTTTAACGATGCTGTCGCGTTTCTCGTTAACCTATTCTTGTTATGACTATTCACTTTCTCTCGTGTAAAATTTGTCAATTATCTTTTTACAAATAATATCTTAAGAAATAATATATAAAAAGTAATTTCTCTTTATTTTATGTTAAATACAATTATATTAATTTGTATTTTTAATTCTATTGCTTTATATTAATTTAATTTAAGTTAATAGTTTTAGTATGTTATACTGGTTAAATGTATGTTATAATGGGTAAATGTATATAAATTTTGTTATATATTCTTATTTGTATTGCTTATATTGTTAGTAAAAATCTTATGTTGTTAGATCAATGAAGTATATTATTGTCTATATAATAAACTGTTATTCCAGCTTCGGTTGTTACATGTTTTCTGTTATATTTTTCAAATTACATCATCAAACAGTTATGAATAATATGAATGATACCACAATTAATATATCTATATATTTGGACTATATAACAATTTTATTATTGAAGCTTGTAACAAAAACAGATCCTTTGTTAATTAATGCTCTACATATTCTTTTAAATTGTTTTTGTTTTAATTGATTTATATTGGCTTTAACAGGCTTCCTTCACAGTATATTACCTTAATCATGGAAAGTGGAAGTAATTTGCCTAGTCCAGGCAATTATCCAGGTGGGAATCGGCAACAATTTTGTGTATCATGGAATTCTCACCAGTCAAACATGCACAGTGCTTTTCCAAAGCTATTGAGCTCAGAACAATTCGTCGATGTTACTTTAGCTTGTGATGGTGGTTCTATCAAATGTCATAAAGTGGTATTATCTGCCTGTAGCGATTATTTAGAACGCTTATTGCTAGAAATACCATGTACTCATCCTATTATTTTTCTGAGAGATATGAGAATGTGGGAACTTCAAGCATTGGTCGAATTTATGTACCGTGGTGAAGTATACGTAGAACAACAACAGCTTGCAAAATTGATGCAAGCTGCAGAAGTCCTGCAGGTATGGGATAAATAATGCTTTGGTATATTTCAAAATACTCTAAAGAATAACAATACATATATATATATATATATATATATATTTATTTATTTAATTACATATAGTAAAGGATTGAATCACTTGAAAAAAAATTTTTTGTTAGGTTCGTGGCTTATCGACTCAGGGAAGTGATAGCTCTTCAATCGAGAGTAATTCACAACAATGTGATTCTAATCCACCTATCACTCCATCAACGCCAACTCAACATGATGTACCTCATTTCAAATCCGATGACACTCACTCTAACGATGAAGGCAGCTCAAGCTTTTTGGAGCCTACCTCAGTTGCTGGATCTAGTACAGGAAATGTTCCATCTCATAATAATACTCCAACTTCGCAAAATCCAAACTCATCCAATTTTATGGAACATAGTGAAGCATTACAACATTTGGAAAAGGCTCTTAGTGCTTGCGAAGCTACTCTAACAGAAACTCAGGGGATGGTTAAAATGGAACCAGATGAACAATTTTCTCAACAGCAAGATGTCAAGCCTTATTCTATCACTATGGTACGAAATAGTAACTGCAATCCCAGCAGTCCATTTCCTGCTATAGAAGGTAAGAATAAATATTAATTAAAAATTTAACAATTGATAGTTGATTAATAATATTATGCATCTTCAGGTTATCAAAGACGGCAAAGACGTTCAGAAGAGGAACTTAAACAAGCTTCAGATATGGTTGCACGTGGCATGACATTTCAGGTGGCATCAGAAAAATATAATATACCTATCAGTACGATTCGTTTCTATATGGTTAGGAAGGGAATTTTACAAAGGCGAAAGCGTGGACGTGGTTCCAGCAATCTTGGAGTAAACAGTCAACCTGAAAGTCCTGCAAGCCCACCATTTCATATGATAAACTACCGTTTGCCAGACAGCCTAAATTCCAGCCTACCGTAGTGCTATACCAAAAGTAGTGAGTTTTTAGATTTCAGTTGAATCGAACAAATTATTTGTCGCTAAAGTCAGAGCTGTTCTGGACCATTATCCTTCCCTTTAAACTCTTTATGAGTTTTTCTTTATCCATATGTTATTTTACCACATCTAAGATGTTAAGTATGAACGCGATATGCAGGCGTTAATAAGGATATCTATTACTGCATAAAACTCGTGCATTTATTTTAAATTTTCATATAAAAATTTTTAATATTGCATGCACTCTACATTATATATATATATATATATATATATTATATATATATGCATATAATGTGTTTATATATATATATATATTATATATGCATATATACATATATATTATATGTATACATATATATGTAAGTGTATATATATATATACATATATATATATAATATATATGTGTATATTTATGAATAGGGTTTTGAACAGCTCTTTTCCATGTATATAAATTCCATATGTGAACGTTCGGACACAGCATTAAGCTAAGCAAGTATTTTCTCCATAAGATACAAAGTTCTTCAATAGCAATGCACGAGATGAACTCAGTGTTTTCCAAAAGACTGATCGCATCCGGTTCTTTTCAGTACAAAGCATCATAAAAACATAGTTTTTCTTGCGCAATTTTAGGATCATAATTTAGGTGACATCTCATATTAATGTTTGTCACATTTGTTAAGTAAAGAAACATTACACATTTATATATTTTTAAATGAGCATATTTGCACAGTATAAGGATGCAGTTATCAGAGATCGAATGTTTTGGATCATAATAATAATATTAATTGCAAATAAATTTATCCACTATATATTATATAGTTATATAGTATAAATATTGTTTTGCCCTCGCGCCATTTCCTTTCTCACATGTGGTACCTATTGAATGCAATTAACATATGTTCGCAAATATATAAACACAGATGCGAGTGCGCGCGCACACATATGAAATGGTAAAATATAGTTTGGTAACCATTATCCTCTTGTGCTGTGGTCGAACATAATTCATATGGTTCCTTTCGGGCCGTGTTCCGTTCTTCTACTTAGTGACCAATATGGCCTGCAAATGTGGATAGTGTAAAAGATTTGATTTCAAGTGCTACTTATTCATCATTTTAAAAGGCATTATCATTATGAAATCTTCACAAAAGTTCGGATATATCAAGTGAACAATATTTTTTTAATGACCTCAAAATGTTTTTGATACAATAAGTTTGTAGTTTAAGTTATTTTTTATTACATTATATTTATATAATTCAGCAATATGCATCTTATTATCTTAAGTCACTATGGCATCTGTACACCGCTTAACATATACCAGACATTTATATATATATATATATATAAATATATATATATATATATACACACACACACACATATATGTCATGTGTATATATATATATGTCAAATTTTGTCTCATTGTGTATGATTATGTTTCAATAATTTATAATAACGGTAATGATAATAATAATTATAATAATGATAAAAATAATAATATTAATGATATCGATAATGATAGTAATAACAAAGAAGCTTCTTCACTTTTGTTGGGCACAACAATAACTTTTATGATCTGGTAAAAAGCGAAGTACAAAGATCATAAAGTTTTATCCATAAGTCACTATGTTCAAGACTGGTAACACGAGGCGCATATAATCATCTGAAATCGTAGACATTGCAGCTCTTAATCTATTATACAAGTATTTTTGTAGACATCTTTATCAAGGAAAGTTTGTTCTTTCTGCCTGTATTTTACATACCTTGATCATCTATAACGATAAGAGAACCGGTATTTGTTCAAAGTTTACCATTTAACTTTGTTAAACATCACAGGACATGAGAGATCATGACATAAGTAGTATAATGCTTTTTACATGCTAGTGTACAAATAACAATGTTTGTAATCGTCAATAAGTATCCACCAGTTTTCATAAAAGTGATGTGGCATAATAATCATCACTTTTCTAAATACTGGTTTTGCCTTGTCAAAAAAATTTTGATTGTATAACAACAGCTAAATGGCGCATATATGACGCAATCTTACAGTGTATTGCCTTTGTTAAATAGCATTTGGATAAAGCCATATTTTTCCATGCGATGCAATAATTCAGCAAAGTAAAATAACAATAAATGGAAAACAGCCTAAAATAGGAAAGAGTGCCAGATACATAAATGGACATAAACAATAAGATGCCATGATTAAAATTTATCAGCAGTTACAACATAGTTGCCTGCTTTTCTCCTGCTTTTATAGAGAATCGTTTACCTTTTTTGTATCAGGCAACATGGAGAATGTATGTATACAAATAAATGTATACAAATACATAAGTAGCCTAACTGACATAAAAATCATTGATAAATGCCTTAATTAATATACACAATGTCGTTTTGTTAAGTAATTATCGTGTAATCAAAGTATTAGAATATTATAGCTGATTCTGATTTATTTCACTTTTAATGACCGATTTAGCATAGTGTAAGATACAGTATAGATTATATTTACTAAATTTCATCCAACGTTACACAGTTAGATTCTGCGCTGATGTGAAGTGTTACAAAAAAAAAAAGAAGAAAAAAAAGAGATGCGTTAGAACAGATTGGAGTACGGTGACATTGATACAGATTGAAAACAGAATTCGCGAATATTGCCTGTTATAGCGTCCAAACGGTTGAAGTAATAACTTCTTCGTATGTAGCATTCTTTCCAATACCTGTATCGTGTAAATCATTATTCTAAGAGTTCCAGTTGACAAAGGTTTTATACAAATCTATTAAACCAGTATTGCAAACCAATGAAGAATAATTAGTTTTCTAATAACACAGTACGTTTTACGTGAATTTAGTACAGTGCTTAAGTCAGTAATGCTCAGCGTATCTAACAAATATTTTTAGTGAAAATCCGTGTCATACTCACATGTATTATAACGTCTTAAAGTGTGTAACTAAACAACAATCAAAGAAGCGTGAACGATACTTAATAATTATTATCATAGCCACTCTTAAGAGTACATAGGTAGCCATTTTGAGGCAAATTATATTATATTTAATTATCCCATCATTTGGTCTCCGTTTTATAGTGGTATTATTATTTGTAGGTAGGTTTTTATACCTTGAATCAATGGATTTACCTCTCGCTCCTCGAAATGCATATTTTTAAGATTTTTTTTTTTTTATAGTTACCGAGACAAATATCTATTGGCATGATAGGCAGAGCGATCGGGAATTATTATTGTTTCCAAGACAACGCTACATTTTGCGAGAATTATTGTTATGACAACTGTTATATAGTCGCACGATAATAGTAAGCACAACGTACTCTATTTTATTTGTGAACATGATTTAGGATTAAAAAAAAAAAAAGTAAAAGAAAAAAAGAAAAAAAAGGAAACGTACGATTAATCTGAGAAAGTTGGAAAATTTAGAAGAAGAAGAAGAAGAAGAAGAAGAAGAAGAAAACAAATTCGATAGGAAGATATAATACAATTAATATTCTATTATACTTAGTTTATAAATTTGTTATTATAAACAAAATTGATTAAGACAAAAATGTAGTATAATAAGTTGCACAAAACCACGATGCGGTTATTGCGCTTTCGGATGAACATCAATGAGTCTTCGCATGCCATTTGGCGTTCTCAAAATCGGATTAATGTCCGATGTTTTATACAGGAATCGTTATAGAAAATCATGGAGTTATAGAGAATTTAATTTTTCGAATCTATATATATATATATATATGTATATATATATATATATATATATATATATATATATATACATATATATCTGATAAGATTAACGAATCTATTATGATTAGTTGTGTGAAGAATCATGTTTTATCTAAAATCTTACGCGGAACGAATCATATACTTCGATCATGGGTTTATCAGAGTCAACGTTTTCATCGAATTATCAGTGAAAAGTTTTTTTGTATTAGCTCATACATAAATCATGTAAAATAATATTCCGTTTTGTTGATTTTCAATGACATATCGTTAAACCTAAAAGACACGTACACTGTGTTTAAAACGCGTGCAATATTCATTGAGATATCATTGAAGGATCATTGAAGGATCATTGAAGGATCATTGAAGGATCATTGAAAGATAAACGTGCGATCGATGTATCAATACGTAAAATGATTTGCGCTTAATGGATTTGAAAAGATCAGGTTGCGCAAAAAAAAAAGAAGAAAAAAAAAAGAAAAGAAAAAGAAAATCATGTCGCTTTAATTCGGTCTTGTTTGATTTTATTACAATGAATCAGATTTTATAACTAAACATCTAAATAAACTGCCGTGACACGTCTCTCTTTCTCTTTTCTGTCTTTTTTTTTTCTTTTTCTCTCTCTCTCTCTCTATCTATCTATCTATCTATCTATCTATCTATCTATCTATCTATCTATCTATCTATCTCTCTCTCTCTCTCTCTCTCTCTCTCTCTCTCTCTCTCTCTCTCTCTCTCTTATTTTTTATTTTACTTTATTTTTTTATTTTTTTTTATTCTTTTTTATTTTTATTATTATTATTATTTTTTTTTTTTTTTTTTTTTTTTTTTTTTCATTATCTATTCGTTTCACTAGATATATATATATATATATATATATATATATATATAAAATGAAAAATGATAACAAATGGCCGTGAATGCAGTGTACACGTTCAAACAGGTAGCATCGATATATTTTTATCAAATATATAAAAAAAAAAAAAAAAAAATTCGTAAAAACAAATTCGGGACAAATAATAAAAATGTTCTAAGGAATCATGATATTTTTGAAAGTAACAAAGGAAGCTTTTCAATGTAAAAAAGAAAAGCATAACAAATAGATATGAAGTTAAAATCTATATTTATATCTCTGATTTATATTACCAGATCGCGCGAGCTTTATTCCCTCCTGAGACATTGTTTTTATAACACACGAAAATACTCGAAACCGCTGTATTTCTCTCTCTTTCTGAAAACTTAACGAACGCTTTTGTATGATCGTAAGAGGAAGGAAATTTCACTAGAGTGTATATATATATATATATATATATATATATATATATATATCCACACAAACACACATACACACATACTCCTACGGTGCTAATATTAAAATTCTTCGTAAACAGGCATTGCTTGTGCGCGATATATATTGAAATTTCGCTTGAATTACAAATTAATGACGTTTCTATTTCTCTTTTTTCTCTCTCTTTCTTTCTCTCTCTCTCTCTCTCTCTCTCTCTCTCTCTCTCTCTCTCTATTTTTCTCTATTTCTCTCTCTCTCTCTCTTTTTGTCTCTTTCTCTCTGACACGACTCTACGGAAAAGTTGCGTATACAAGATTCGTATCCAAATGCCGGCATTTATAATCTTTATAGAATCAAGTATTGTTGTTTGATTTAGAAGTAAGCTGTGTTTTAAGAGTAAAATTGCTTTTAATTTTAAGATCGTGTAACATGTGTTAGTAAGCATGCTTCTATGTAGATGAATAGGACAACGCTATAACAATAATTATTATAATGAAAACTAATTATAAACATAAGGCATTTAATAAGTGCAAAAGTATTTCTTAATAAAAGTACTCTTGAAAAAAAAAAAAAAATGGAAAAAAAGAAAAAAAAAAAAAGAAGAAAGACCCCTCTCATCAACATCACTATTATTATTATTATTATTATTATTATTATTATTATTATTATTATTATTATTATTATTATTATTATTGTTATTATTATTATTATTATTTTGTTTTATGCAGTCTCTCAATACAACTTTTTCCTGCTTGAGGAATTGCTTTCTTCTCCTTTGTACTCTTCAATCAATGTGCATTCTCATTCTGTTTACAATGTCTTCATTCTTTTTCTTTTTTATTTAATTTAATTTAATTTAATTTAATTTAATTTTAATTTTAATTTTAATTTAATTTAATCTTTTTTTTTTCTTTCTTTTTTTTTTTTTTTTTTTTTTGTTTCTAGGTTCTCTTAATTCGTAACATTTATGTTTCATTGCCAATAACCATTTTACTTCATTCTTAAATTTGTTATGATCTTTCGTGTCAAGAAACTTTTGCGTACGTTCTTGCTTAAAAACATTGTTTCTTCAACGTAAAACGTAAAAGCGCTTTTATACGAGCGTAAGAAAATTATCCCCGGTTGCCAAGAAAGCTTTTCAGACAAACGTAAATTTCCATATTTTCTCTCTCTCTCTCTCTTAACTCCATCCCCACTCTATATCCAACCATCTCCTCTTTCCCCTTCTCCCTTTTTTTATCCCAATCATAGCACATCGTGGAAAAACGGATGGGGGACTCTAAACGGATTTTCGTCTTCGTCATTTTCATGAAGGCACGTCGCGCATCGTGTATTCCCTTTTTCCTTTTTCCTTTTTTTTTTTTTTCTTCCTTTATAACTTTACGCTCTCTTCTTGTCTCCCTTTTCCTCTCACAGTGCCTCAACCTCGTTCTCTTTCTTCTCTTTCCCTCTCTACAATTCGACTGATTTATTAGCGACTCGTGGCAAACGGCCGACGAACTTGACGAAGACCGGCAACGGTATGAAGTTCATTTAAGTTTCTCAGAGTTTTTTTTTTTTTTCTGTTTTTGTCTTTTTTGCTTCGTAAGAAAAGCTGCCATTTTCTTTTCTTTTTTTTTTCTTTTTTTTTTTTTGATCGTATAATTTTTCTGTTCTTTCTCCCTATCTCTTTCTCTTTCTATATCACCTATAATTTCATATATTATTAACGAATATACAGATTGATGTTCTTTTTTTTTTTCTTTTTTTTTTTTCATCGTCATTCCAAAAAGAAAGGAAAAGGAAAGAAAAAGATGAAAGAAAATGGAAAAGAAAAGTCTTTATGCGCCATTTTAAAAACTATAACGTCGAGCCGAGCCGTCTGGAAAGTTCAATGTTAGTATGGAAAACGTCGCACGGTAGTGGGAGATGTATATATATATATATATATTCGAAGACCGGAAGGCGTAATAATATATGACGAATGAATAGATCGAATAGATCGAATTTTATCGATCTATTTTAGGGTAAGTATTAAATTTGAAAATGGCGGAAGAAATATGTTTCAACGATGTAATGTGAATGCGTAAGAACGGGGGTGGAGTGGGATGGGAAAAAGTTCGACAGGAAATATTTAGCAATATATAATAACAAAGACGATAATATATATATATATATATATATATATATATATATATATATATATATATTTGAAAAGAATCATAGAAGTCACGCTATCGAAGAATATACGAGACAGAGGGTCGTCGTTCGATAAAGGTTCGATGAGCGAAAATAAGAAAAAAAAAAAGAAGAAAAAGAAAAAAGAAATAGAGAGAGAGAGAGAGAGAGAGAGAAAGAGAAAGAGAGAGAGAGAGAGAGAAAGAGACCAAAGAGGAAGACTCCGACTTTATCTCGACTACTTTGTCGAGATACTTTAAAGATGTCAGGCTAGGTGGAGAAACGTGACCACTTGTAATCCGTGAGATCGTTCAAATTCGTATCGAATCGGTCGGTGTCGAAAATTGCGTCGTTCTTAAGTGCAAGAGAGAAAGAAAAATGAAAAGAATGAGAGAGATAGAGATAGATAGATAGAGAGAGAGAGAGAGAGAGAGAGAGAGAAAGAGTAAGATGATTAAGGAGAAACAGAGAGAGCAAGAGAGAGATGGATGATGCGCGGTGCGCAAGCTCTCGCGCGATCCCTTTGTGTTATTTTCGTGCGAGAATCGCCGTTCGAAGCTTTAAATAGGACCGAGTTTCCGACGAAGAAGGCAGTTTCTAATACCGATTCTACATGTTGGAGCATCGCACCGTATTCGATGTGAGTAAACAATAACAGGCCTGCGCGCCGGGTGAGAACGTCAAGTATTGGAAGTACAAGGGTATTCTTCGAATAGTGAAAATTGATTTCGATCGATCTACAAAATCCTTTCCTTTCCTTTCATTTTCTCTTTATCTTTCTTTCCCTCTCTCTCTCTGTCTATATATATATATATCTATCTATCTATTTATCTATTTCTTTCCTGATTTCTCTGTCTGTCTTTTTCTCTCTCTCTCTATCTATCTCTCTTTTTCTTTCTCTCTTTTTCTCTCTCTCTCTCTCTCTCTATGTTTCTTATACTTTATTATCTCCTTTTATTTTCATACAAGACGAAAGTAAACAATAAGGATATTTCAAAGGAAACGAAGAGTTAAAGGTCGATACGTTATCGTTGAAAAAGTTTAGATAGATATTACAAATCTAAATGTTATCAGCTATATTTGTGTTTTATCTTTTGATCTAAAATCAATCTTAGATCACTGAAAGAGAAAGATAGAGAGAAAAAGAAAGAGAGAGAGAGAGAGAGAGAGAGATAGTGAGAGAGAGATAGTGAGAGAGAGATAGTCAGAGAAAGAAGGAGAGTGAGAGGGGTAAGAAAGAATAAAGTAAGATACGTAATCGTGTCAGTCGCCGTCAGTACGATGGCCGATTTAATGATACATATACGCACCGTATGAACGTGCGCGCGAGAGCAGCACGCCTCTGATTATTTTTAATCGTTTAAAAGGTACGTTCGTTAAAATTGGCAGCGAAGCAGACGTTTTCTTTTCAGTTCCTATATCGTACGTACTAAGTCGTGTTTAAGTCACTTCTAAACGCTTCCTTTTTGATCTAAGGCATATACGATAAAACGAAGTATCGTTTGTTCGTTTGAAAATTTATATCACGTAATTCGTTAGATCTTTTCCACGTTACGATATTGCAATTCTCGTAATTCGAACGAACACATTTTATAATATAAAATACATAAATATCGATTTAATCGTTGAAAAGTAGTTAGAAAGTTAATTAAATTTAATTGATCAATTGATTATTGATATAAATGATGTTCGAATTGAAGAAAATTTGGGGAACGGTAGACACGATTGTTTTTCTTTTTCTTTTTTCTTTCTTTCTTTCTTTCTTTCTTTCTTTCTTTTTTTTTTTGTGAGTAACGATTGTTTTCTTGTTAATCACTGTCAAGAAAAAAAAAAAAAAAAAAGAAATAAAAATGAGAGATTCCAATCGAATTTCATGCGTTTAGATTCTCTCTGGATATCGTCGTTGTCGTAACGATATCATCGCCAAAATTGTCCCACCATCTTGGCAAAGTTTCCGAAGTGAGAAGTTGGCGATTTTTCGTTGCTTTCGTGACGCGCATCAGAACGATATAATCTATCTATATACATGTGTATACGTAAATACGTATAAATTATAAGTGCGTTTATCGAACTAACGAACGTGCGAAGAAAACAAACAAACAAACAAACAAACAAATATTCACGATGGAGAAAGTGCGTTTTAATCGTACTATTAGATATTTTTGTTCCCTTTTTTTTCTCTTCTTCTTCTTCTTCTTTTCTTTTTTTATTCTTTTTTATTTATGTCGTTTTCCCTCCCTCCCTACCCCCCCCCCCCCGCTTGTACAATCTCGATACAAGTCGATAATCGATCAGAAATTATTTTCAACAATTGGTACAAAAAAATTTGTAACGTTTTAATTCGTTTTCTTTTTTTCAATCCAGTCCTCCCATTTCATTCCGATTTCAATTTTACCGCGCATCTTTTACGAACGATCCCTCTTTTTTCCCCGCGAATTTTAAACGAACCGATTCGCATCGTTCGTACGTGCGTTGGAAAATGCACCACGTGGTCAAAGAGTTTTGGCGGCCTATCGAATTCAATCGATTCCAACGTCGTGCGTGTCGACCTACAAACGGAGTTTTTTTTTTTCTTTCTCTGCGATCGAAATAAATCATTCCGTCGAGTCTCTCACTCGTATACCGCAAAATTCGTGGAAATAAATAAGATAAATTTGTCCGTAGAATAGAACGGAAAAGCGTAAAATAATATGTTAGGTTTGATTCGTATGTATTAATAAACATTGGACCAAAATCTTCTTTTTCTGCGTCGTCATTTGTACATTTCTTTTTCTCTTTTTCTTTTTCTTGTATCGTTAAGGAAAATAATAGTAGTAGTTTCTTTCGTATATTAGAAGGAATATTAGAGTGTATCCGATGATAAAAATTTTTACTGAAAAAAAAAAACGATCGTCGGATAAAATGGAAAAATTGAAAAAAAAATAAAAGAAAAGAAAAGAAAAGGAAAGAAAAGAAAAGATTATCATAGAAATTTTGTCGGATTAATATCGTAATAATCGTTTCTTTATTCTTTCATTTTTCAGATGCCATTGCATTGCATCGCTAACCCGTTGCAACGGGAATTGGCTGACGCCATTATAAGGTTGCAACCGCTGGATGAAATTCGGATACTTCTCGCATGCGGTGCAAGGCCAAATGAGCCGGTAACCCAAGGTCTGAGACCTCTTCATTACGCCGTATGGCAGAGATACACCGACGCGGCTCAATTGCTTTTAGTTCGTGGTGCTGATATCGATGCTACCGACGAGTGCGGATATTCCGCGTTGCATCTTGCCGCTGAGCATGGCTATCTCGACCTCGTTAAACTTCTATTAAAATACGGAGCAAAGGTCGATCATAGAAAAGACACTGGGGAACTATTTCCCAGGTAAATAAATTTCGTCTCGTTATATATACCATCAAATATCACATAGATCACTTTATTTCTAACAATAAACTACGTCTACGAGGAACAATGCTTTGTTATTTTTAATAGACTTTCTGTAGAGATCGAAATTTGTTACGAAGGAATTCATTGATCGTTAGCCAATAATAGTCGTATCGATCTATCACTTTAACAATCGTAAAATGTGATCGTAAAAATAATATCTCTTGATTCTTTTAAAACTGTATCTCTAATCGTATTTATATAATATAATGTTTATATATATATATATATATATATATATATATATAATATACATATGTCGTTGTGTTCTATAGGACCATGCTATGCGACGAGCCTTTACGATTGGCTTTGAGGAATCGCCACGTCGAAGTGGCTAGGACTTTGTTGGAAGCTGGCGCCAATCCAAACAAGAGATATTTCTTCGGTTCGGAGATTAATTTGGTTTCTCCGTTAGATCTGGAGTGTATGGAACTTTTATTGGCCTTTGGTGCTCAACCCAATATGAGGGATCGAGCTGGATTGACTCCTCTAATGAAGGCAACGAGATCGCCTCAGGTGAGAAATGCTAAGATCGAATGAATTATATTTTTTTATATTTTGTTTTTGACTTGTATTTACTTTACTTTATTTTTCTTTTCTTTTTTTTTTTTTTTGTTATATATCAGGGTATCGCATCTGTACTTCTTTTGTTGAGTTACGAAGCGGACGTGAATTCTATGGCCGATGCCAGGCATGATTTTCGTACGGTTCTACATTATGCGATACTCGGTGGCGATCCAGCGGTTATCAATCTTTTGTTAAAACAAGGTGCTAGGCTAGACCTTGGACCAGATTATCAAAAGCCAACCGCATTAGATTTGGCTATACTCAAG